CCGTAGAGAGATCTTACCCAGATCCGTCAGGTTCGAAAGCTGTCACCGTCATATCGTTGAATTCCTGCACTTGTGTCAACGACTAAGTGCAATTTCCCCGACGCATAGGCGCAGTCAGTCACAGATCTTCCCGCTAGGAAAGAAAGCAAGATCTTAGTAGCAGATCCTCGCCACTTTAGACTTGTCGAATCTAGACCTCGGGATTTGGAGAAGGAAAGACATGTGCGATTATAGTCATTAGATGGGGTTGTTTTCATATGATACGGCTTCCAAGGTATTGGGGCCATATATCGTCGGTCCTGCAGCACTGCTTTTGCTTACAGGAATTGAGTTTACCGGCGAGCTAGCCCTTGCGAGCTGAAGCTATCCCATCATCACTGCAGCGGCGGTTGAAAAGCCCTCTCGGCTTGTCTCCGTGGTTCACTGTTGTGAGTTTTCTTACCAAGAAAGAAAAACAGGTTTTTTAGCCGTCTCGCCAAATTTCAGCTTTGCGTCTAAGCATTGGAGTATCTAAGCAAGAATCGCGGAAAAACCGTTAATCCGGGCTCTACTGCGGTTGAAGATGACTGTTGGGAACGGTTTAGGGCCAGTAGTAACGTTGAATTGAGCTTAGTGCTGACCATAGCAACGGAATAATTATCGCGGCAGCCAACCACAAGTTTTTCCGGTACTGTTGCAGGGGCATCACGTGTTTTGTGGCGCATGCTCTGCTTGTGGCATATTAGAGATTATGTGGACTGGACTGCATGCTGACAGTCTGAGTCTGACCAATATTGAAGGCCCTAGAGTTCGCAGTTGAGAGCACTAGTATGTAGCTGCGGTCCTCCTTCCTGGATGAGGTTCCCGGAATGAACGCAATGAGCACTTGGAGGAGAGGTGATGTATCGGGATCTCTTTAACTGGTCAACCACAGTGGTAAACCGGGCACAAGGCAGACACTGCCCACGGATGAGCATATGAGAAGCACATACATTGATACAACATTATCATCACAGTGTAGTGAGATTGAAGAGAAGCAGTAGCTTGATCATGGTTTCCATCCCGGCATGGCTTTGTACATCGCCCTGTCGTGATATCATGATCATGATGTGTGATTATATTATGAAGGTTGTAGTTGAGATAATAGCAATTGTAGTACCGTGATCATGAATCGGTCAGTGGTCGGTTCGGCGCATAAGGAGAATAAGAAAAAACTGGATCTTTACGCGCAAAGCTGAGGCTTACCCAACACGATCACTATCAACCATCATCCCCCCCTTAGTCGCTCGGTCGCTTGTCGGCATTCAAATTTCCACATTTCCACACTTTCACCTTAGCGAAAGGAGCGATGGTCTGGATCATGACAGGCGAGCATCGTGTCAGGGTTAGGTGATGATCGCAATATGGCATGGAGCCTAGCGTGGCCAAGGGAACGCGGCGGCCACGAGGGGTTTCCCCCCTGATTTCGCGGGGGTTACAGGAGATGAAACACGATGTAGCAGATCTATCATCTCGTGGTGCACACTAGGCACCAGCGTGGTACGTTATGTATGCAGGTTTGATAACTTTTGGTTAAATTATTGAGAGGTGACGATCTTGGCCCGTATTGGCAGGGAATGTGCATAGGTGTAGCTGTCGTGACTCAATGAATTCTGGTTGACCAAGGCCGTGACATATCAATGCAGATGACTTATTAGCAAGCAAGAAAGATATAATTGACCCGGGCGAAAGGGGAGATACGGAGTCGTAATTTTATGAGTAGGTTTGTAATTGATCATAAGATCGTATGAACCTTCGTGCATGAATGTGTATTATGTGCCTAGTTCACCTATACGTATTCTGAATTACTCTGCAATTGGCCTTGAAACCATTCGATCAAACACCATTGATGGAAATAAACATATTTCTTCTGACTCAAAGCTCGACCAAAAGCTCTTCATCTCCTCCTTCTTGCCTTGCAATCCTGCCATCGCCGAATGCCGACAGGCAGCAACAACAATAATGATAATAATAACTAGTCACGGTACATACATACGTTGATTGCATGAAAAAGATCACTGGTTAGGCAGTGGCTCATCGGAGACGAACATTCCTCAACAATTATATGAGCATGTTTGAGATTAACTGTTTGAAATATTTTTGCAAATAGTGATCGTCGGAGTGAGGGGTTGACATCGTGTACCTGCATTTGCAATAGCCGTGTTATTCAGTGCACTAGCTGCAGCCCTACCGTGATGCAGGTCCGCGAGATGTGTGTTGAGGGTCAACGGCACTAGAGATATCGTGTCCTAAACTTTCTTGCACCGATACGAATATACGAGTTGGGCAAGGAGCTGGGGTCGAATTCTTCAATCTGACCGTTAGTGTATACGTGTGATTATACTTAGCTCAGAAATAGCTTTCTCCTCGTTTTTGATTCTCATTGTCGTGAATAGCTTCAGCACGCTCAGATCAGTACAAAGCTGAACAATATGCCGCGGACGATTGACTCAATTGAATTCCATCGTCAAGGGAAAGAAACAAAAACAAGACATATCGATACCTCGCGCCCTCGGTTAGCATAGTTTAGCTCCGTTTCCCCTTAATTTTGGCTTTTTGGGGGCAAGTTGTGGTGAGCACTACTCATGTTTGTGTGTAAGCCCCAGGAATCTAGTGATGGGGTAAGAATTCATGGCAGGATCGAGAAATTAAGCCACGGTTGATATCCAAGGAAAGAGAGAAGTGAAAGTAGCGGGGCCGGTAGTGGGGCATGAATAGGCGCGCGATGGACGGCATATGGAAAAGTGCATTTACCGTAGATGCATATCGCGAATAATCTGGTTTGGTTTCTTTTTTACTGCGGTTCGACGTTCTTCATGCTCTTACATACGCTGGTGATGCCCTAGTAGTGGTGAGCGAACCACCGGAAACGTAGCGCGCCCCGAAGGTCATCTATTAACAAGCGGGCCTGTAACAGACGCCCTCTACCTCATCTGACATGTTTCTTCAGCGGAGGTTTGGTTACTTTGTGACAGAAAGAAAAATGCTTGGTGGGTTATGGATTGGAGGGTTGGAGGGGCGGGAGGGGGGCTTGAAAGAAGGAAGAGTTAACGGTCGGGACAAGATGATCTGCCCTCTGCCACCACCACCCCGGAATTCGGAACACTGCGACGGAGTACTGGGGAGAAACATATGCCATTATAGACAATCGTATTTCTCAACAAAAGGCCTAGGTTTATTTTTCACTCATCTTTGTTATTTTCGGTATCTTTTAGCTAGCAGCCAGCCCACAAAAGGTGGTTTACCGGCAATAATTCATGCTGCGGACGATAACCGTAGCCTTATTAGGTGTTTTTGTCCAATAGGAGCCCTGCGCAGGGGACCGCAAAAGACCCCATTACGGTGATAAAATATTATTAGCGGACCCCAGTTAGGTGGGATGGCTTCAGCCTCACGATGGCTCGCTCGCGAGATCAGATCTGTGGCTGTGGGGGTTGATTGGCTGGTTAAAAAAGGTATCTCCTGGGAACAAGAAGGCAGCCTTGTAGTGACCGCGATTCGCCTCACCTAAAAATTACACCCCTAACCCGGGACCTCTAGTTTTCACCTAAGCTATCTACATCCAAACCAATACCGTCTACATCTTGAGCTGAGGATAATCACCCTGACCCTACGAGACATTTTATGTCTATTATCATAGACACATGGGTGTAGTAGGCTTAACCGAGTTTTTTTTTTTTTTTCCTTTGCCCACCCACCTCTAGCTCTCACTCCCTCCTCCCCGCCCATCGCACCCTTTCGATGTACCCCTGGATAGTACCTGCATCCACACGAATTTCCTGGTTCACGCTTTATCTCTTCGGCTGAGGTTGTTGCAACACCGCAACCAGCTGAACACCCGCAGCCTCACGTCTCTCTCCACCAAGTAGTTTGTGAGTGAGCCAGACCTCGTGCATTCCAGATATGCATGCAGCATACCTGACTTTTCTCGGTCTTCCGATATTTCTTGATTTTGATAACCTTAGGGCGAAGATGAAATCTAGTGCGCTATTCTATCAATGAACGCACTGATGATCATTCTTCTAATTTCATGACGTCGTGGAGTTTTGTTTTTTACCATTCGCATTTTGGGCATTTCCATTGTCGTGACGATGCTATTGATATTTGTGTCTAGTGCTAGGAGTAAGTATAATATATCAGGCATATCGGCCGGGGTGGTGATTATCACAGACAGGATGGTATTAGGTGTGACATGTATGTAGGTTGGATGGAAGTTGTGAGCGACGGTAGTCAGATTAAGTCTGGACCCTGCCGTTTCTATGGGACGGGAACATTAAGGGTCCATCCCAACCTAACGGTAACACAGGAGCTAGCGACAGCAGCTCAACGGCCTCTCTCTCACTCTCACTTACTGCACTCTCTTACTCCTGCCCTCGATACTGCATCTCCCCCCCTCCCCCCCCCCCTCTGACCCCACTACCACTACCACTGACCTGGAAACCCCACCATCACCACACTCACTCCCTCACTCCTGGGGACTTACCGATGACTATGTCTTGGAGTCACCCACTGGTGGTGATATTCTTCCTTGGTAGGCTGTGTGCTAGCTGCGGGAGTCGAAACAGTCAGTGCACCAAGCAATTACTTGATCCTCCCTGTTATGCAAGTATGTCTCGCTTTACTCTTCAACGGTGCATCTATATAACTATCAGATCACTCCCCCTCCTTCCGGATCATTCATTCAGTTCATACATTCAGTTCATTCATTCAGTTCATACATTCAGTTCATACATTCAGATCTACTTACCTACAGCCCTAGAGTTACAACAATCTCAACAGTACTCTCTTAATATATCAATCAATTCAGGTTCACCACTTCATATTCTATCAACACACTCAATCCCCAGCGTTTTCTATATATTCGACTGAATTCCTGATATCTATCAACTTCACACCACAACAACCACAACACTCACCTCAATCCGCCAGACCAGGCAACTAGCAACTTTTTCCCACGACTAAACCCCCCACAACACTTCAAGATGTGCATGAGAGTTGTTGAGCGTTACGCAGTTTGCAAGTGCGTCTACTTCACTCACGGAGTCGACCAATGCGGAGCTTATGGCCGCCGCGGACACATGGTACAAGACAGGGTAGTCCTCGTGGGACACACCTGCCCCGCTCACTCCAACATGGGATTTTCTTCAGGAGGTTCATATAGCCACCAGCACTCAAATCGGAGTTCTTGCAGTGGATCTTCCTCCTCATCATCATCACGGAGCAGTGGTTCAAGACCCGAGGTCGGGTTTCCATACAGCTCCGGCGATGCCCGCATCTTCCGCCGGTGAACGGTCCAATTCCCAGCAACAGCAACAGCAGCAGCAGCAGAGCAGAGAGGCTCCTGCGGGGCCAGCGATTGAAGCACTGCAGCAGCGGCAAGAGGCGGCGCGCTTGGGGAGGAAGCAGGAAGATGAGGGGAGGACTAGGAGGGGGCTTCTGTTGACGGAAGGGAATATCACATTTTACTGGAGAAACTACGCATAAAAATGGGAAAACGGAAAACTAAAAGGAGGGGGGGGGAAAGGCGCCATTCCATTTACTATTTTTTATTATTATTCTTTTTTTTTATTACGACGACACTTGAGCTTTATGAACGACGGGGGGCAGCACTACAACGTATGGATACTATTCCGTTGTAGTGCTGGCCAATGGCACCGGCCGGCAATCGGGTTCTCGGATTCCTATTCTTTTTTTTCACTGTCTCATCCTTCTACCACCATCTTTCGACCCTAGGATACCTTCATGTACGGCGCCGTATGCTGAAGATTAACCTGCGGAGTCGGCTATTGATCAACGTGGAAGATGAGAGAGCAAAGAACGGATTCCAGGACTCTTGATTTGTCTTGAGCCCTTGTACTAGCTACTAATGGTACGAGATACGATATTTATGTACTTTTACTACACTTTTTCATCATTTTTGTTCTGTTTTTTTTTTTTTGTCTTTTTTTTTATTTACATTGCAAGCGGGATCCCGGGAGTTTGGTTTTTGTTTTTTTCTTCATAGCGGTGTTTCTTTTGCTTTTTTTTCTTTTTTCGCATTGCAGCAGGGCGGGTACGAGTATGTTGGTAGATCTGGAACGGGTTTGGTGGGGGAGAGGGGGTGGGGGGGGGGGGGAAGGCTGTACTACTATTTAAAGGGCGCTGGTTTAGGCCGCTAATATTCAATTAAATTCAAGATATTGAACTCACTCTTCTTCTCTCTCTCTCAAAAGTACCGGCTTAACATCATGATGACATTCCTCATTCCTCTCCTTGGTCTTCTCCTTGTGTAACCCTGAGGCTACTAGTCACCTCACAACCCTAAACCTTAAAAAGAGAGCAAGACGTCTTACGCATAAGTTATGCTTCTTTTTTCGGCGCGGGCTATGCTAGCTAACTCGCGCTCCGACGGTCCAACCTATTCTCCTCATCCCTCTCTTTCATAATCGTCCCCCCTCTGCTTAATTTACATACATACATGCCCCGACTATGACTGACTGCTGTCTAGCTAGCTAGCTCCTTTTTTGAACAAACAGTCATATCATAACGACGGCCACCTGCCTGGCTATGTAACTACGTCGTTGACTGTCCTCGTGCTCAAGAGGGTTTATGCAACTGCTTCGGGCCCCCGGGGCAAGGCATGTGCCAATGGCATGTTGAACAAGTACTGGCAACTCCAGTCCAACCGATCAACTCCAATCCAAGCTACACGTATACCATATCGTGAGCGACCAGGAGTTCCGGATCCGGGGATCACATATGTTGAGGCTCTATAATAATCATTACGAGGGTTAGGGGTAGGTAGTACAATACTGAAACACACGATAGATCTAAGGCATATCGAAAGCTTATGCGCCTGCGCACCTTTTCTCTGCTACTCCCCCACCCCTCCAAGGCCGTTTTGTGTGGCTTGAATGTTCCGTTGTGGTGGATCCGAGTAAGGCATGGTTGGAGGCTAGGGCATGGGTATATGGGATGTTTCGGAGGATTTGTGTGGGGATGGAGGGGCATTGAACCGGGGTTCTTGGGCTATAAATTTATAACGGCTCTTTTTTTCCCCATCATCTATCCTGCAGGATCCGGATGTGGTGGCTGGTGGAGAATGTGGAACCGGTTGGCGATACACCGTGCCGATTCTTGTGTTGAGGTCTGGCTATAGCTATAGATCTAGGGTTGATATGGTTATAATATCTACAAGCTAACTAGCACATGCAACCAAATCATTGGCTAGCTATTAATCCAGGCAATAATCAACTGAATATTTACTGAATAAGATAAATACACACGGTTAGGCGAGTTATTCGACATGAGCCACACTCAATCACAGTGTGTCGGAGCAGCAGCAGCAGTAGGCTAACAGTTGGATTCCGGTACGGTACGATGAGGAAAGAAGTGTGCTTCTACACATGCGGGACGTTCCGAGTTATCTGATCAACCTGACCAGGTTACCGGAATTAATCAACGTCAGGCCTAGGACAATAGATCTATATTGTCGACTAACTCGCCCAATCTCACTCTTTAGTAGAGAGGAAAGAAGGCGCATGCCCTGCGGATGTATTTATCTACCATGGCACTAAGAGATTTTATGGTGGGCATTGTGACCCTGGATCCATGGAGTTGACGTTAGTTGACAGAATGGCTAACCATGGGATGAGATGGGGGACATCGTTTGACGTTCGGTACTTGGCCGGGGTGTGGCCTATTTTTAGAGCTTTTGCCTAACGATCTCGGAGAATTTACAGTCACGTGCAGCGCGGTGTGGGTGCTAGCTCTAGACCTATGGCTCATGACCGACAGCGGTGTAGTGCCGGCCGGACAATATCTAAGGCCGACGGCCTCTAACTTGAGGTGATCTTTACGATCTGGGTAGTTGGTGGTGTAATTATATCCCCTAATCGAATTAGTCGTTAGGCAGAGATCTGTATTGTATTAGTTAAGTATAGATCCGGGTGCACTTTGTAGCTGTAAAGTGCGGTGATTCATATGAATTGCATATGGCCAGAGTGCTACCTGCTTTAGTCGATCCATATTGATTATATCACTATCAACACCAGCTACGTATACATGTAGTACTGCTAAGTGCGGCTGAGAGAGAAGAAGTGCTCCTAGATTTGTAAGTATGCGCCGCTTCGCATAAATTGAGTTCCGCTCTTCCTCTGCAGTACCTCTGCACCTATCCACCTCCTGTTGCTTCGCTTTACATCGCGGGTCTCGGGCGTGACATACAGTCCCCCATCCCAGCACCGATCCCTCGACGGCCCGCCGAGTCCTAGTCCCTGAACCACACAACCACCCAGCCCCAACTCTTCCTCTGAGCATAGCTAGAATGAAGCGGTGGGGCTTAGCAGTGGACCAGAATTTATATAAATGTACATAACATGCCTCTGGCTAGTCTAGACTACCGTAAAATAATCGCATCGAGTAGTAGCTGCCGCGTGCATTAGCGTCAAATCTTATGCTGCATGATATAGCTATTAATAGTAGCACCTCGTGGTTGTGGGTTAGGGTTCAGTCTTGGCAACGCTGTTTTGATAATGTCTCCGGCTCGCGTGGGAGAAGACTAATGCATCTTGCGTGCCTGCCTTGCCTTGCGGTCGATCCTTCAGGCGGGGGTGTGTTTCAGGTGGTGTTGGTGATGTTTTGTAACTACAGTCACTCACGGGGTGAAGGCGGATCCTGTCTGATGGCGGTCAGGGATTTGAGGCCAATAAAAGAGTTAGGTTTTGGACGCCAAGGGCAAATTACTGCAAACAAAACCATCAGACAGGATCCGCCGTCAGTAGGTGAGCGACTGTACATGTATATAATATACTTAGTAGATATTTATGCCTGGGTGAGTCACGGCGAATAAATGGGGCTTTCTAATCAGAAGGGATCGACCTCAGTGTGACTCGACTAGTGGAGATGTGCTATTAGCTTATAATAGGTGGAGCAGTTAAATATTCGAATTTCTTGGTAGGGGACCCGGATTGATGGGTCATACTTACTGAATTACTGTCTTGCGCCGTGGTTATCAGGCGCTGGATGCGCTATATGCGTGAAAGAGAATATTTTCATCGTTCAATCTGAGCTGATATATAATGCACAAAAGATGTTGACGGTTCGATCCCATGAATTGAAGGGGGAGCAGTCGATGGCTTTATAAACCAGTTGTGTGCGAACATTCCGGATCCTGCAAACATCTCTTCTTTTATAGTGAGTAACTCTCTCAATTATGAGTACATAGCTAGTTCAATTTGAGCATCGGTAGTTACACAACTATGTCAATACTGGGGTTTTGGAAGAATGTATAGGGGTTTAGTCCTGTATTTAGAATTTTTGTAGCGGAAACCTACAAACCAATGACAAGTGTAATTAAGGTGTTTTGTGTTCCAACAGCTATCACAAGACCGAGATATTGAATGAAGAGAAAGATGCTGTATATTGACAGGACTACTAGAGTTCCTTCTAGCTTTATACGACCTGATCAAGGACATGTTGTCACGCCACATATTCCTTGCCATAAGTCCACAGTTATTATACGTAACTAATAGTCACGTGTGCCGTACTGTTTCAATTGCGAGTTGTGCTAGTACAAGGCTCGGGCATTAAGTGAGTGAACTAAATGGGGTGTTGACTGGTGTGGATCCGTTCACTCACTTAATCCCAGAACCTTGTACATACGTACATGTAGTTATTGGACTTGACCAATATGGTTTATCTGTGTGGTAACCAATTAGTTATAAACTAGCGCTTCAGTTTTGAATTCGTAGTAACCTGTGGTCAGAGCTGCAGCGCGTTTGTCGCGCTTAAATGCATTAAGATCCGCACCTGACCAAAAGTTGAACTCGTGTAGATCTAGAGGTTACGTACACTCTTTAATTATCTCCGAACTTGGCTCTAGATTTGAACACATGGAATACATTGGACTTCCCATATCCAACGAAGAAATTATCCTCATCTCTAGTAATCATGCAATGTGCTGCGATTGAAAATGGTAAGATCATGTATGAAATGGCGCACAGAATTAAAAGAAAGCTCAATGTAGACAGTAGATACACTCATGAACATCATGGCAAGTCATTAACTCGTTTCCACGAAAAATCACTGTTTGCGCTCCTCGCAATACTTTCTCTCCTCCTTCTCGAGACTCAGGGTCTGTCTTTCAACAATCTCGCGCACTTGCTCAACCTCCTTGGTAACGTGGTTCATCTCCGCTAGCTTCTCGATCACCTTAACCTCAAGAGCCAAGACTGCTTTCAGTTGATTAGGGAGCCACTAGCTTACTGTTAGTATTGTAGGATTACAATATGGAGCGATAGGGTACTTACCCTAACAATAGGACTGCCTCCTGTTGCGGTCGGGTGATTGGTCTTCTTGAGAATATACTCGCGGGTGAAGCACCAATGACGCCACCTAAAGTCGCGCACTTGATCGATACAAAGAAGGTACAAAACTAGTATTATTAGCCACAAGTGCTTGATCAAAACCATAAAAGAAATGCGTACCCGCGGATTGAGGATCGCGTAAAGAGAAATCCTGGATGCCGACTGCAGCCGCAGATTCTTTTACCCACTCGAGAAAATCGCGATGGTTTCCGGGACGGTACTTGCGGAAGTCTTTGAGAATTTCCGTCAATGGTGTGTCGGGCATGCTGATCTCGAGTAGGTTATCGCATAGCGGGACCTATATTTAAAGTTAATTACTAAGACAGTCGCTGTTGGTGGGTGCTAAATACTCACCATACTGTCATTGGCCCCAGACTCGCCGCGGAAACTGAGGGGTTTGTCAGAAACGCCTTCGTAAATGACGCCCTTTGGAAACATAGATTGAGACGCGATCCCGAATATGAATCTGTCCTTCATTAGTATCAAACATCAAAGATTTCTAATGTTGAACTTACGTGCGGAAGCTATTGTAGTCGCCTGGCTTCGATTTCCCCCACATTTCTGGAGACGGTTAGAAAAGCTCACAACTGCGAAACTGCACCGGGGCACTTCACCTACTTTCCATCGTGGCATTAATCTTGCGTAGGGTAGCTAGCACTTGCTTGAGTCCATCTCTGAAGGCTCCGTGGTTCCCTTCTCCCTGGCAAGCCCGGATAGCCTTTACAGCACCATCGATGAGCCCACCGCTATGCTGTACCATGTCGACGTGGACAAGAATAAATCCAGCTTCGGAGGATGTACGGTCAAGTCCATGCTCAAAGGCGCGTATGATTGCAATGTTATCATAGTTCAGGCCCTCATCTGGGTTTAGGAGACGGTAGTTGAAGAGCGCATAGGATCCGGCATACTCCATGAAAGGTTGAAAACCTAGAAACAACATTAGACCTAACATCAAGCCATAAATAATCAGATCATGATTGAAGTATGAGTACCGGTTCTGTAACGGAGTACAAGTTAGTAATTATTACCAAGTATGGACGCACAGGTACCCAGGTACACTTACAAATCTGCAACCTTGACGATAGGCAAACTGATACATTTCGGAAGTACATCCCGTGCGAGTCCATAATCTCCATCCTTGAGATACTTGTGATGGCATGGCTCAAGCAAGTATGCACTAGCCAGGAATGAGTAGTCTCTGTACAAAGCATTCAGTACTACCTGATTATCTTTATACTTTTCGACAGCGTCGATAAGATTCGGGAACGACTCGTGAACAACATCACCCAGACGGCCCTGTGCGAGAAGGCCCGGGGTTCCGTCCCTCTTCCTTACAGGGAGCTGTTGTAGGATATCCTCAAGGGCCGCGAATTCCGATGGAAGTTCAATAAGGGGTTCCTATCAAATGAGATGTGAGTACGGATATGTCCTCGAGGACAATATCAAAAAGAAATATAGATGAATATCAAAAAAGAGATAGAGATGGAAACTACCTGTCTAGGAAGAAATCCACGAGTTGTGCTGACCATGAATGGAGGGAGAGAGGTGTCATCAGGGAAAGTATCTTCAAGAAGAGACTTGAATTCTTTCACCGGAACTTGTGTTCGAGCTGGCATAATTGGGGTCAATTTGAAGATTTGAAGATTTGAGTAGAGAATTTAGTATGATGAGAGAACGACTCACTAGGCACGCCTCAGGCTTATAAGGACAAAGAATGAAGCTAGTTGGCTGATAGGAATAATACTATAAAATAAATCACACGACATCGTTAGGGAACTACGGTTAAAACCGGGCCAACATTTTGAAGTCGGGCCAATATTTTCATAGTCGGGCCAATATTTTGGTGATGATTTTAATTAATTCTTGTTGGTAGCTTATTTTAGTTGGGTAACAGAATCTCTAGTTTCGCTAAGCACGTCACGATTTGTAGGCCCGAGGTTCATCAAAGAGGGTTAGGGGAGACCTTAGCGTTGTAAGGGTCGGCATTCCAGCCAGTCACTTGTAGGATCAATTAATTTCGAGGCACAAATAAGGTTAGCCTCGTATCCCTAGAAGCTGTCACGAAGGTCAATCAAGGTTTGCGTGACGGCTGCCGTGGCTTTTGAAAACGCACCTGAATGGTGGGGATAGCCTTTGAGACTAAAAGTAGGTATTCCCTCTACACAACAAATGCCGAAACCAAAGATAAGCAGATGGGACAAAAGGAAGAAATATCCGGGTGAATCAAGGGACCCGAGCAGTGTCACCTCAAACCAGGCCCCTATTGGCGGGCCCTATCGATGATGAGGAGGTGGCCGGAGGGGACTGCAATACAATCTATAGTTAGGGGGTTCATATCTAGTTCTTATCCTCCAAAGTATTTTGGACCAGTGATAACAGTGTGATGCTCTACTGTAGAACCATGGAATAGAACACGTCAAACATTAAGAAGAGACCTTCTAAACAGAACATCACTGAAGTATTCGGGTTTAGGTATTTGTTCATTGTATTTGGGAAGTTCGTCGCGAAAAGGCTAGAAACGGGTTTTCGCGGAAATTTGTCAGCATTCACTACAACTTCACCTCTTCAAGAGTATAAGAACGTTTTTGATGGCGAGATTGACTGATTCTTAAACGTTGACTGTATTGAAGAACCCCAGCTGACGATAGTTGTAACAAATAATCGGTGAGTCTGTCATCTTGGCCCTCCATGATTTAAGCCTTTCTTCACTAGACGCCAAGGTAATAGTTGTATCTGTGCATTTATCCCTATTTCCAGGTTGCCTTCTCATTTGGTTTAATAACATGACTGAGTTTAGAGGGTGTTTTGCCGGGAGGGCTGCATCAAAAGTGTAAGACAGTGCAAGCCATAAAATCGAAGGTGGCCCATAATCCGGAGAAGTAGAAAAAATGTCGGTGAAGATAGTAGATTATAGGGCGTTTATATACACCACTTTATTATCTTCGTTATTTTCTGATGCAACTTGCTGGGCTCTCCCAATCTTAACTAATTCATTGCTCATAGCCAAAGTACCAAATCTCTTCTCATCTTTCAGGTTTCTCGCACAACATCGAGGTTTCATAACCACGATAATAAAGAATGTTCTTATCACATTTAACATGCATCAGTTTTCAGTGCTCCGTACTTTATAATATATCCTTAGAGATTACTCACCCCGGAAAATGCCTCTCTGATAGCACCTGCAACTAAACCTCTCGGCGACATTGGCCTATGACCGCTAGCCTCCATGATATATCCCAATTCCGGATCAGCGACTTGTTTACATTTCCATCCTGTTGTAACCCCTCGCCTATTCATTGCTTTGCGTAACCGTCGGCATCCATCTTGGTCATCCCATGAGGGCCCCCACGTGATCTTAAAGTCGCTAAAGAGGAGTCTTGAGCGTGTAAGGCAGCTAACTTCAAGTACAGCCATAGGCTCATCTTCTGTGGTTGGAAATGAAGGTCGAATTCCAGGGTCTTCGGTGGATTTAGCTGTTGTGAAAGGCATTGGATCATGAAGCCGGCTCATAGCATTAGACGCCGGGGGTAATATTAGGGTGATCGGAGAATCCATTTGAGAGGGAGTATTGGAAGTAGCTGCGGTGCTCTCCGCCTCTGCCATCTGGTCTCCCCAATATTCTTGATTTTGAAAATGGGTGATAATATCAAGTTCATGCTTGGAGCCAGGGGGTGTAGTAATACTAGGAAAGACGGGGCCCTCAGAGGCAGTTTTTTGCTCCGATTGGGTCGTTACAGTTGTGCTAGCTGGAACTAACCACTCAAAATCTTCGTAGCTGGTGATCGCTTCGAGTGGTGGCCTGGTTGTGTTTTGATATATTGGATCCGATCTAAATCGTCCATCTGGCTGCGGTATTGGAAGAAGTCCGGGTGTATAAGCTGCCGTTGGCACGAGGTCTTGGGAAACTTCTAAATATACTCCCGGCTCTTTTGGTGAGGGACTGAAAGCAGGTGTCGGTCTAGGAGCATATTCAGTGACAGTAACAGTCACTATCAAAGTTTTGATGTCAATAGACGTTAATACAATTTCTTTACTGGAGATATACGCACCTGTTGTCGTCACACGCTCACCACAACCCCATCCCTCCTCCACGGCGCACCGAAGGAGCGGGCCCCCTAAAAGGTTCAGCCCGGTCAGAAACTTCATTATGAAGCCAAAGAGTTAGAAAGACGGTGAAGGATATATATACTCCCATCCCAGCCATAATCAATCCAGGTGCACCATTCATCAGGAAGCCTGCAGCGGTAGGGCTCCATAAGGTCGGCACCATCAGGGGATGAGCAGACACGGCTGACGAGTGCAGAGACTAGAAATATATATTTTTTCATTGTAGTGCCAGAGTTGAAAGTAAGAGTTTATTTCGCATAGGCTTTGCAACGCATAATCTTTCAGATGAAGAATGACGCCAAACAAGGATTGATGACGTGTCCCTGAATTGGAAGCATTGATAAAAGGACACGGTTCGGGTTGATTTTCTGTGATAACACGTAATGTTCTCGCTCCTCTGTCTCTTAAATTCCTCCCTTCCTCTTTAATTTACTATTCTGATATTTTTAAAATCTTCATGCTACCTATCGAGATTCAGGAACAACTCCCTGACCTCTTCGATATAACATATTAGGATCAATTTTGCCTTGAACGTGTACGTTTGAAAACTAGATCACGATGTCCATAAACAGTGATCTTCTCAACCCGATTTTGCGAGGCCAAACGGCTCCGGACAAAACCCAATTCATATACACTACGGTTGGACAAAGTGTTGTTGTGATAGCGCAAAATGTATTTCCGAGCCTAAGTCTCCCAGATCACAATCTTATCACTTACAATTGTGTCTCGCTAGACAGAAGAAAAATCTCAAGTCACATTATGGTTCTATTTTGGATAATTCTTGCAACCAAGCTCAAATCACGATTGAAGCCGAAAAAACGTATTGCGCCTTGGATTTATAAATGAACCAATATTTGACCCAAGTTAAGAACCATCCGAGTGATGTCTTGTGAATATTATATCCGCAAGTAATCCGCATTCGGCGCTTTCTTGGCAATTCCCAAGCCTGATGTGACTACATGCTAGTGCCAAGCCTGCACAGTGGGGAACATGCCATCGCGAGAATCGTAAAGCCGTGCAAGATGGCTTCACAAAATGGCGTTCCGATTCAGGCCAACCACATCACATCGACCCTGCAAGCCTCAAAACGCCAAAAAGCCATCACAGCTTTTGTTTGCACCGTGGAGGTAAACGCGGGAAGGAATACGCTCTCTCCATATAAGGCTGAACATCCATAGAGTTTCTCAGCCCCCTCCACCAGCAAAAAGAGCATCTGCGGCCCACATCAACTCTTCCGGCTTAATGCGGTCGCATTCACTCATTCAGCAACCCGATCGGGTTTCTGTCAGCAAAATCTTTGCTGGCGATGGTTACGCTAAATGTTCAGCTGTTTAGGTGGCACCCAAAAGGTACCAACTTGGTTCCTGTCACAATGAGCGCAACCTCGTCTATTAACGGCCGAGGTGCATAACTAATGCATATATGATCCGATCCTATTTAGAGTTTCAGGGCTACCAAAAAAAAAATCGCCGACTGCATGTGTGGGCCGAGCTTTGGTTCTTCGCGCAGCTGAAGAAACTCGTGTTTGACATCCTCAAATCTCCACCAACATCTATAATGAGCCGAAGCCACGTCATATCGTGGATATATCTGAAGACCCGAAGAACCTTTATCAAAGCTTGACTTCACAAACGGTTCAAAATAGGGGCTGATGTATTGGGTCACAAATGTCTATTGATGGGGAGAAAGATCAACGTCACTGGACATTTATTTATGCTCTTGTGAAATTTCTTTTTCTCCCCTTCAACGGTCATTTGAGACTATTCATCATCTCCTCTTTTGATTTCGTTGTGGGGTCTGGATTTGGGTGAGTTTCTCGGTCTTTGAGGATATCCAGCTAAGTAAAGTAGTAGCTTCGCCCAATTCTGGTTTAGTTAAAGGTGCATGTATGTATTACTGGTGAGTGTAGCGCGACTCTAGCTAGCGGCTCTTTGGGATCTGACTGACCAGAGATGGACTGTTTAAGTATTTACCAGAATAATCAAGGCATAAGGCATCGCTCTATTTGTAATGTTGTGATCGGATGCGGACCAATTCGAGGCCACGACGGGGTAACCATTGCCCGTCGCCTTTGATCACTCGGCCGTATCTCGGGCTCGCTTAGTGATTGATGGAAACCCAACCAACCACCGCAAACAAGGTTTCCATGGGATATATCGCCGGAAACAGTCCGAAGAGAAGCAACTTGAAGAAAGACTGATATTTGCAAGGTGGATTGTAAGCAAAAGCCTAATCGACCTTGCATATATAAATACGGTTATGCTGCGCCTTCTTGTACCTCGCCTTTCAGTGGGGAAACAACTCATCCACCTTTCACCACGCAAAAAACTCAATATTTCAACTCGAACAATGACTACCAATATCACTGATCTATTCACCGACGAAGCCTCAAATGGCATCCTCGACCTATGGTTTGCAGACGCAGGGCCTTACCCTACCCATGAGCAAGCAATGCGCTGGTTCAAAGCCGACGAAGGATTCGACGAAGAGATACGGTATATTTTTCCTCCCCATTATCATTACCCCCGCATGCGCACCCGATATATATTAACCCTACCGCAGCACTAAATTCGGCCCCCTCCTCACGCAAATAACCTCAACCCCACCCTCCACTATTCTCTCTCTCGCCACTACCCCGCACCGCGCCCTCTCCCTCGTCCTCCTCCTCGATCAATTCCCACGCAACCTCTTCCGCGGCGATCTCTCCGCGCACGTCTATACCACTACCGACCCCCTCGCTATCGCCGTTGCCAACCACTCCATCGCGCATAACCTGGACCTCGGCCCCAACGACGAATGGCGCGCCCTCCTCTCGCGGCGAATGTGGTTCTGGCTGCCCTTCACGCACTCGGAGGACCCGGCGCTGCATGTGCGGGCCCAGAAGGAGTTTGCGAAGCCAGTGCTAGAGTTGATTGGGGATGGGGAGGGGAAGGAGATGGCAGCGATGCTGGTCAAGTCAGGGGCTGAACATCTGGAGGTTGTGGAAAAGTTCGGGAGGTATCCGTACAGGAATAAGGTTCTTGGGAGGGAGAGTACGGAGGAGGAGAAGAAGTGGCTAGAGAACCCAGTAGATTGGGCGAGGTGAGGGGGGTGTGCGGGACGGGTGAGACGTCGTGATGCGGGTTTGGGGGGGGGGGGGTGTCGTGTGATGGGCGGTGATGCGGAGTGCGGAGTGCGGATACACACATGTTTACAGATATGCCTTCAGATGAGCGGGTGTAACCCTTAAACCTTAAACCTACCGTCCAGTTGTTTATCTCTTAACAATACCCGTGCAGTTTACAAGCATCTAATAGGTTGCCCACTCAAGTCCAAAATCAATTGTTCAACAACGGTTATGTGCTCTGGAATGCTAGCTTCAGAAGTGAAACACTCAAATTGATAGACCCCAAAGAAAAGCAAAAACATTCAATACTCCGGCCCATTGCACACTGAAAACTATCTGTTTTTCCATGATCTCACTACCTTTTCATTCATTTGAGCTCGTACTCTATATCTAGCACCCACCGTTAGCAAAAGTTGCATTTAAATCTCCAGAGTAGCACTAATCAACTTACCCCAATTCTCATCTCCCTCCACCTCTACCAGCTCCACCATATCCTCCACATCCTCCACCTCCGTCTCCCCCATATCCACCATATCCTTAGCCTTCCCCCCCTTTCCCGGCCTCGGCGTATACATACTCAAATACCCCCTACTCCTCCTACACCTACACCCCCTCCCCTCCCCGCCACTGCCCCCCGGCCCACACCGACTCGCAAACCCCCTCGGACACGCCCTCTCCCCATACACCCTCCCACTACACGTACACACCCACGTGGCCTCCTTCCGCATCTCCGGCGGGGCCGGCACACACTCAAAGTCGAACATGGGCGGGCAGTCGGGCTGCTTCGGGTACGAGCACGAACACTCGGTAGTAATGTAGTCGCTACAGTACTTTCTTGTGCCTGTCGGGCAGGTGGCTGTTGCGGGTGTCATGGCGTAGCATTCGCAGGAGGAGGTGGCGGCGGGGGGCGTGCCGGAGCGGAAGCAGAAGTAGGTCCACGGGGATGGGCAGGTATAGAGTTGGGTGGTGTGTGTGGTGATGAGGAGGGTGGCGGTGAGGGCGAGGGGGAGGGCGGGGGTGCTGGTGGCGGGGGTGGTGAGGAGGAGGAAGGGGAGGAGGGGGTGGAGGGTGTGGAGGGTGTGCATGGTTGGTGGGTGGAAATGTGCTGATGGGTAAATATAAGTGGGTAGATATAGTAGTAGATACTGGTCTTATGGGTTTCGAAATATCAGTTTGACCGAGAGGTTGAGATTTAAACAACGGGTATGGCAAAGAAGGGAGATACTGGTTAGGCACCCCAGATATATAGATTCCCCTCCTCCCCCAGCCCGATGCCGTGCCAGAGTGACATGTTGGCAGCAGTGACAGGTATGTTTCAGCCTAGCAGGAATTCCACTGAGGCCCAACCAACAAGGTGTTGTTGTTCTCGCCAATGATAGGAATGCATGCCTTTTTTTTCCTTTTGAAACGTGCATATGCACATGCACGGTACCCGTCATTGCAGGCCAGTGATAAACTAACGAAAAGCAATAAACTGAGGAAAAGCAATCTATTCAACTGATTGCAGAAATGTGGTTATGCAGGTAGTAGTTGTTCCATTATGATTACAAGATTCTAAGCCTTGCCTCTACAAAGGTAGATATTTCCCAACTTTCTTCCAGAGATCGCACCGCTTTTTCAGCATTGTCAACGAGTCCTCCGCGAAACCGTCAGCTTGCACGATCCACTCCTTCCCGCTCTTCACCTCTGGCCACGCTACTACGCTGTCGTTTGTGAGCTTGTTTGCGTTCGGGTTTCCAGTTTCGATGAATGAAGCATACGCTCCCGCATAGCCTTGGTATAGGAAGCGCTGTGTGGTTTGCAGCGAGTTGACAGTATTCCACTGGATCATTATTAGCTTGAAAGTTCACAGAATAGAGTGTGGTGCTCTCTTACATATCCGACATCACTGGCATGTTTAGCAGGCGAGATGGTGTATTCGCCAACATATCCTGCCTTCTTGCTGGCAGTCGAGATCCAGTATCCTGGGCAAGCGAGAACAACATCGCGATACACATAACCAGCTATGTGCCAAGGCCAGTTAGCTTGAGAATTTTACTAGTTTGGATGTCTTATTACCTCTGTCCTGCTGTGTGGTATAAACAGTGCTGCCATTCGTTGTCGCTGGGGGATACAGTGCCTTCACCTCCGTGACATGCTGCTCTTTCAAACCGGGCAAGAAGCCGTCCAGCCAAAACCTAAACCCTTCTTCTGTTGAATTCCACGCCGCTGTCCCACTTGTGCCTGTAGAAGCAGCCTTGTTTAACGCCGAAGAGACAAAGGTCGACCCCTCAAATCTATTGTACATCCCAATCGCATAGTCCGAGTTAACCCTTCCCTTCTCCGTTGCGGAGGACAAACTCTCCCTGAGAAACTCTCCGTCAATGACCGGTGCCCATGTGTAGCTTGATGTAGTGGTCGTATGCATCGCGTTGATAATCTGATTCGCATCTCTAATCTTCTGCACATCAACCTCCTTCAAGCACTTCAACGAGTCATCCGCCGTCGCGCACCCCGTCAAGTTTGCCAAAGTGCTGTAAATCTCCTCTGCCTCCGGTGCATCATAGCGGTAGTTGCGTGGCCAGAATGGAGAAGATGCGATAGCCTTTGTAAAGAGCTTTGGGCTGGTATTACCACCGTTTGCAAGAACCTGGGCAACAACGGAACCACCGCCGGCGCTCTGTCCCCAAACGGTGACGTTTTTGGGGTCGCCGCCAAACTTGGAGATGTACTTGTTGACCCATTTCAGGGCTGCCTGTTGGTCGAGGAGTCTGCAGTTCAGGTGGTGTCAGTGAGGTTGTATGATGGGGATGTGGGGGGATAGCTAGGGTTATCACGAACCCTGGGTTTAGGTCCGATGTGGGGGATTCCTTGATTTTCTTGCCGGGAAGGAGGCCGAACGCATTTGTCTGCACGTGCGCGTTAATATAAGCATTGTACCAACCGAAGATTCATGCAGTTAGAGAGTGTGAAATACCCGGTAATTAGGATAAACCGCAATGTAGTTTGTCGACTCGGAAACATTGAGGACCGGATACGAAGACGGCGGCAGCGTCAGTCCGGCTGCTCCCTGAATGAAACCACCGCCATAAAAGCTAATATAAAATCTTAATGTCGCCATACAACTATTCTTCAAGTGGCGTACTACTCACAACATCATGACCGGCTTCTTCGGTGCACCTTCAGTCCATGGGCGGGAGTAAAGTGTCAGATACAAACAATCCTCCGACCCATTGACAGTTCTCTGCGGGCACATATCATACTGTATATAACGACTTAGCTTCAGCTCATATCACATATACTATATCTAAAAGATAAGACAAACCGGTATATCAGCATCGTAAACCCCGTCAAAGGTCCCCACAGGCTGCGGTCCCCTAAACCGGTTCTCTCCAACAGGAGGCGCCGCGAACGGAATCCTTCGAAAATACGAGATGTTGTACGCTTCATTGTACTTTCCCTGAAGCGAAACATAATCCAACGTCACCAATGGATCCTCGTACGCCGTCGCAAGAAACGGCAAAACCGCCGCGACCAAGAAGCTTTTGAACAGCATTATTGGCAATCGTCGTGGGAACTGTTATGTTGCTCGTTGGAAAAACCTCACATTGGGGTTCATATGGCTGCCTTTTAAGCAATACTCCGCCCTAGTCAGAGGTTCCTCCCTTTTTTTTTTATCCATCAAGTGAACCCCGGAATATCTCTCCCCGCGGGGTAGTAACCGAAGTATGGGGAAATTGTGCACTATATAAATCCCTACCCATCCCCGGATATTATGGCAAGAAGCTTTCCAGATATTAAGCACTACTATCGAAAGTGGTTAAAGGGGGATATATAAACGGTTATATTGCATATTGGTTAGTGATTCGGGCGAAAAGAATGCGTGAAGATTCTCCCCCTTGCGCCCCGAATATCAATGCTTAATTCAGCCTCGGGCAACATAACACCGACGATCTCCGGTTATGCGATGGATTTAGGGGGAGTATGCTAAACTTGATGTTCCGTTCTTCCGTACGTTTGTTATGACGCAGGTACAGCCCGGTTGCATTGATCGTATATTCGACTTGCAGAGGTCGACGGTATCACCTTAGAAGGTCAGTCGTTTTTCTTCTTATCTTCCTTGGTTTGTGTTTAAAAGCGAAGAAAACACAGCGATGAATATAGACGTACTAATGATCAATGATTTTCTATTTCGAAGACTTTACGATAGGTTTCTAAACGTTATAGTGCATCAATATATTGTGACTACGAGGATATAATCTAGCTTCCGTAACTGGAGGCGGAATCTAATGACTAGAAACGTCGGCACCCAGGTTTTCGGTATTCGTTTTACTTTAAGACTGTTGCGTCTAGTTAAACAACAGTGAGTTCAAAAACGTTGACGTGAATCTCTATATTATAATACATACCTGATGGCTTATGTGCCCCTCGACTTATATTGTGGAGACTTCATCTCTTCCATCACCGTTACAGCACTAATAGAAGGTGCCCGATCGCAAGCCGGAATCAGTAATGATCAAAGAGTAATCGAATAATGTCCTTGAGAAACCGAAGATTGTGTGTGGTAGGTACTTTTATTTGACGGTAGCAGCGTACGGCGTGCCATTTTCAAGGCCTTCATAATTGGGTCTGTTACGTATACGTATACTACATACCTGCAGCACGTATCTTCTTAGAATAAAGCCAAAATGAGCTTGTTATCTAAGTCCAAGGCCGGAACCACAGGCCGCCGGTCGTTTTTCGGGCTGCTTTCACACCACAGTCTAGAAAAAAACACAAGTAGCCTCAAAATTCCATGTCCCAGCTCTTATACCGTCACCAGATTCTCTCTATATTCAGCCTATATTTGCTAAATTCCGATAACTATTAATATATTTTCACCGCTACACAAAAGCCCTTGCTAGAAAAAGGTTTAAGTTGATATCCGGCCATGGCTTATCACTCGATTGACAGGAGACCGAGTGACTCGCGTCGATTTTGTGTATGAGGCAAGTCTAGTATAGTAATCCGTAGAAGCTTTAGGGGTTTTCGGATTATATCAACAGACTATCATATTACATAGAAGATATAGATCTAAATATGATACGCAGATCAAGGCCCGGTTTTCGATTAGTCTTATTGGTGCTAGTATACACATTATATACTCCAGAACTTTCAAGCTTGGTTTGCTGAAACAGCGGTACAGTGCAATCTCAATAGTAATATATGGCGGGCGTCATCTAGCGCGGTACTATCGAGGATATACTTGTATCAAAGCCAGTTGACCCATCCTGATAATCGAAGAATTAAGAAAAGAATGAAGCAAAAAGGAAAGTAATGATGAGTTCAGTGCTCAGGATTCCCGCATGGTCACCCGCTGCAGTACTGGCTGAGCAATACGAGGCTTGTGTATGGCAGAGCAAACGGGATGCCCAATTTTCATCGTTCTATGACTGAACACGTTGATCACTCGGTTTTTCGAAAATTTCTTCATACGATATCACTCGGTATTGAAGGAAATCTGTTTTTCCTTGGATTTTCTGGATCAAGTCTTATGGTTTCATGCCCGCAAAGAAGAAGTCTCATCGGTCTCAGGATAGCCTTAAATTGATTTCTATTATACCTATAATCCCAAAATCGCCGGTCTCAATAAAAAGACTACAAATTGCAGTGCACTGTGCCTTCAAGTTTCAATAGTAGTTCTGATCAAATAGCACTGATATTTAATACTGTAATAACACATCAGAGGTTTTGGTGTAAAGTTTATATATTGGTAACGCACATATTATTAATCTCCAATATCAATAATTGTAGTCCTGCATCGTTCACTCACCAACGTAATTAGTCAGGAATACAGTACCTATATTATACTCAGTATCGATATCGAATGAGGAATATGGAGTAGATATATGTATTTATACATTCACCGGTAATTCTTGCCTACTGATCTCTGCAGCGTGTATCAGTGCGCCCCACCTTTCTCCAGTCCCAATCTCTGCCCGAAAGTCTCTCACCCCAACGCCCGGCGGGTCCGGGACCGGGCGTCTCTCGGTCGCGGATTTCGGCAGTCTACAGGGCCAATTAGCCCCGGAGATGCCTAGAATTTGGTGGCGCTGGTGTATCCATGCTAGTTCGTTTGTGTGGCTTTTCGGGCCGGGGAGGGCGCATTCATCGGTTATCACTCGGTTTTGCGTTGTGCCAAGAATAGGGCGTAGTGAAGTTTAGGGCACAATCCGAGCCCGACCTCTGGGATTTTAACCGGAGCTATATACCTCGACGCGGCTTGCATGTCTAAAGACTTAGGAAGCTCCGTGCATTAATGCGGTAAGCCCGGACTCGGGCTCGAGCTTTTTGTAAGAGTGGAGGGCAGTGGCATTCTAGCTACACAAACCCCACTTTTCCACCGGTGGCTTCCGAAGCCATTCATACAGAGAGTCGGCGATAATAATGTCGACGGTCCATTCAGTGCTATGGCCTACAGTTGGAGGTTGGGGGGAGGGCCTTTGGTTCTATGGGGGGTATGGCGATTTACCCCTTGACAGAAACAAGCTCTGGCTGGCTTGAAACGAGGCGCCTTTTCCACGTCACTTTAAGATCTAAAGTGGCGTGATATAGAGCTCGATAAAGAAGCTTTATCTTCTTGCATCATGGCGTATCACAAGCTTTAACTTTGGTCTAGATATCTCTGGTTGGTTTTATTACTAACTGGCAGAATTTAAATAAATTTGGGCAAGCTGCAGTACTAGCAGCTGCAGGGGGAGAACTCGGAATGAGGGCAATTATGTGGTGGAGTCTAGACCTTTTCTGATTGGTACAAAGGGGATAAAGAGAAAATTTGAGGCCATTTTACAAGCGTTTGGTAGCTTTTGAGTGGCAAATTGCAATTTGATTACTATTCTGTAAAATCGACCATTGACAAAAATCTCTCAACTTAATAATCAAAATCTGAGGAAAAGAAGCGAATAAGTTGTTCTTCCAGCATAACCAGTCGAGCACTTATTGGCTCCCTCCGTAAATACTAGTTTACTTTCTGGAGAGTCATCCTCGTGCACCTGGTCTCTAGGCCACAACTCATGAGCCTAATTGACCAATACCCTCTTAGATAACGTTAACTCCGGGCTTAGATAAACATCTTTATTATCTAGAACGTGAAGGTAAAACCTTTTATTATCAATCAAAAGGACTTCCAAACTGGCCCTTGAGTGGGAGGTCTTTGCGAGCTATCAGTACATATATAGAATCAAAGCTAAACTACTTGCGTGTTAATTAAGTAGTCGGATATTGTTGCAACCAAATGCTTACAAAAAGTTCCGACTTGTAACGACTGAGTACTGTCTCGGAGAAATCCCCCACACTTTGGGGACTTTTTAAAGTCTTGGTAGTCGATTTTAGCTGGCAAGGAGCTACAGACATTGTTGCTACATATATTTCATGGGACTGGGGAACTCGAAGAGAATGAATTATATGTACCTACACTCTATGTACATGTATGCACTCTAGATCTTGCTAGGCCAGCATTGGCGGCGACAGGCGACGGGACACCCCGTAGATATTAAGGCGACGCATACATCAGGGTTAGGGCAAACATAGCTCGTAGAAATCATATGACAAGATCACAACCCAATAACCCCATCCACACATTCCGTCGACGCTTAAAGGTTTAAAGAAACATCCAATCAACCATTTTCAGTTTACTCCATTACTAGATTTGACTTGGGATCTGCTATAAGCCTGAAGTTTGTTCTTGATTCTTCCTGAACTACTTATGATAATGCTAATGATAGCTAGGCATGGAGGTAGCTACATCTCTAGCGATGGAAATAGAGCTGGCTCGAGCTCTAGCTACGACGATCTTGAGCTTAGCTTAAAAATTTGCTCGAGCTCCCTCGGCGGCTATAGGAGCTTCCAGGCCAGGCTCATGACCCCCACGAGTTAGCTCGAGCCGGCGGCCGTGCCCGTGCCTATCATTGAGGTTCATTATAGGGGTACCCTGGTCATGATAATACCTTCTCAGGGACGAAATTCGTTGACTATGCTCGGCAATCGTCTCCTACAAAAAACCAGCGGGTTCCTTAGCTTCGATCCCTAGAGTAAAAACCCCAAATAGAAATTGATACATACAGTATTCAAGGAAAAGCCTTTCTCTTTGGCCGCTTACATGCTCGCAGTCCTTTCACCAGAGCATGCGACCTGCTACGAGATGGAATTTATTTCTCTCATGATGCGTTGTTTTGTGTTTGGGAGCTATGGTCGTTCATGTTACATCACTCGGGCCAACCGACCAACGCCCCGGGGAACCTTTCGTTGTCAAACCACCCAGCTCAGAGATGCCGAGAGGTTTGCGGTTTGCCCGCCACTCATTTATTTCAGTCGATGTAAAAAAAAAGCGAGGAGGCCAGCTATGTAAGTTCACGGTTCTCTTGGATCCAGTCTTTAACCTTGGAGCTAATAGATTCAGAAAGCTGCATAACTCTGAAAAAGTTTTCATAAAATGTGGGTGGTTACACCTTAGAGAGTATGTATATACATATTCCACGGCGAACCTTACCTCTCACCAGAGCTGCTCTACGTACGATACCGCTCGAGGTCCGTTGTGCGGTCTACAGAGGAACACATGTGTTATTCTCTACACCCCAGTTTGGGTCCGTGCGGTTGAGATTGGGTTTTGAGGTGTTTCGCGAAATTAAAGTAGGTAGGGCTAAAACTAACCCAATTAGGTCCTGCCAGGGCCAGGTACTCTACGTACCCCACCAAATGTTTCCGTCATAACCTTGCATGGTGGCGGTGTAAGGATATGAATTCCTAGGATGAACCATTTCATGATGTTTCAAAACATTTGTTTGCATTTAAATTTGCCCACCCGAATCTAACCCATGAGACGGTTTGCAGACTAAATAGTAAGGTGATATTATTTTATACAGGCATAACTTATAAGCTAAAAATGAAAACCAGAACCCCTCCCAGAAATACTGAATCAAGCAATTTAGTTGGTAAGACCGATGGTGATACCGAGGTGCTCGCCAGCAAGGATAGCACCCTTCTCTCCGATGACCAGAGCGGTTGAGTAGGTGTTGCTTCCAACTATAATTGAAGAAACTTGTTAGCATCTCAAAAACACCAAAGATGATTGGGGGATAATTACCATTTCCAGGAGCGATGGACAAATCGATAACCTTCAAGTTCTCGACCCCGTGAACGTTCAATTTGGCGTCAACCACACCACCCTCCTCACGGGGCTTCATGGCATTGGTACCAAGAGAGTGCCATGTTGTTCCAATGTTTTCCCTCATCCACTGCTCAACCGCCTTATCGTCCTCCTCAGAGTAGACAAGGTTTTCAATTGGCTTCTTCTTGTCAAGAGGCTCGCTGGTGACCTCGTTCTGTGCTGCAACGTTTCCAGAGACAACCACACCAGCAGTGACGCCCTTATCTCCCTGAAGCTCCCTAGAAGTATCGATATCGATCTCGACAGCACGTGCAGGGGATGTAGCAGAGAACTTGGGGTGTAGTGCGACAACCTCTCCACGATAGCAGGGCATGCGACGAACGAGCTCACGACCAAGCTTGTAACCCCAGATGTTAGGGCCAAGATCGGCGGGGTGGGACAAGTATGCTGGGTCAAAGTCGGCCTCAACGTACGGATCAGCGCTGGTGATGTGGATAGAACCGCGACTCGCGGGGTACTCCAGGTAAGTACCAATGGTAACGTATTTACCGCCTGGGAGCAGGGAGTGGTCGCCAAGGAAGGCATTTACAAGCCCAGCGAACATAACTGGCTTGTCCGGTGCATCCTTGAAGTACTCATTCCAGAACTTCCTGAATTCTGGTCCCATAGCTTCAATCTCCTCCTCGGAGGGACGGAGCTTGCCACCAGCATCGATGAAGTTTGTTGTGTAAATACCCTTAGCCTCTTCCAAATCTTTCAGTCCCTGAGCGTGGACCTCTGGGATTCCGCGCAAGAAGTCATCGTGAGTCTTTGTTTCAGGAGCAACCCTGTAGGCGGGGAGAATGAGGTTGTGGTCCTGGTAGTTTTCTCCAACTCCGGGAAGGTCAACCTTGCACTCGACACCGGCCTTCTCAAGTATCTCACGAGCACCAACACCAGACCGTTCTAAGACGGTGGGGGACCCAAGGGAACCGGCTGACACAACGACAAGCTTCCTTGCTGTAACAGATTGGGGGACTGGCTTGGGAGCGCCCTCTGCCGGGGGTGAAAATGGTACATATTCAACACCGGTGGCCTTTCCGTTCTCAATAACAACTTTAGAAACCTTTGAATCACACAAAAGGTGAAGGTTACTGTTCTTTTCCATTACAGGGTGGACATAGTTGTGCGCAGTGTCACTTCGGAGACCGGTCTTAGGGTTAATCCATTTTCCCCAACGCTCGAAAGCGTGAGCACTCTCGAGATCCTGGATATCATCGACAACTTTGTAGCCCATGTCTTGAGCGGCTTGTAGGAATTCCTCGGTGTTAGGGGCGGGAGAAGCTCCATGGCAAACGGCGAGGGGCCCGTCGAAACCGTGGATCTTTGGGTCAGGGTTCTCGAGGTTGTAGGACTCCATCTTCTTAAGGAGAGGAATCAAATCATCCGCTGACCAACCTTCAGTCTTCCAGTCATCATAGTCGCTATTGATTGAAAAGTTAGCCAGGAGCCCTCAGTCATCTAATTGAGGGGATGGAGTAAATACGATTTGCTAGCTCTGGTGTACATCATGAAGTTGATGGAGGAACCACCACCCAACATGTTTCCAGTGGGAACAATTGGTGAGCGGCCACCGAGGAGCTCAGAATGGCGTCCCGCATAGAACTTTGCTGTAGTGGATGTGGGCGCAAGATGGGAGAGAAACATAGCGGGTTGCCTGACCTGAGGGTCATTGAGATTGTTCTTTCCACCCTCAACAATGAGGATTTCAAGGTTGGGATCGGCTTGAGCGAGTCTTCCAGCGACAATACAACCAGCAGCTCCACCTGTTATGTTGAATGTTGGTCAGTAAAACTAGAAGCTAAAATGAAGAAATTGAGGAGCAACGAACCTCCAACAACGATAACATCAACTTCTTTTGGGGGAGACATAATTTATGATAAAGTAGTAGAGGAGGAAAGACTTCTAAGTGTTGTAGTATGGGATGGAACTTGATGAGGAGTGTATACCGATTCTTGAGGAAGACTTCGACCATCTTATATAGTGATATTTTACCCCAGGCAATCTATTCTGACCCTCCGAGGGGGCCACGTGGAAATGAGATACTTCAGGTAGGTCAGCCTATCGCTTTTTTGGCGATCATATCTCGATTCCCGAGGGGTGGTGGCGCCCAACACGGCAACTCCAGACAGCTCATTCATGCACCTGTACGGGGTGGCCTTACAAATGGCTCCTCTGAACCTTTCAAACACGTTTGAGGAGAGAGAATCGCCCGAACACGGTATATTCCGATCAGCTATCTCCTTGGTAGTCTATTGCATGTTCTGAGAAAACTAGGTAGAATGGCAGGTAACTCAGACCTCCGAAACTTGCAAAGATATCGCCAAACAGACCAATTACTCCTACCCCTCCTAACTTCTCCCCTCATCCTTGGCCAGTCAAAGACAATTGTTATAGCTGTCTCAAGATTCATATTTGAGAGGGGTTGTATACATGTATGCAATAACTGAACACATGGATGTCAATTGCGCAGCTGTTGAGCAATTGATGTCTCCATAGTACTCTACATAGAGTGCGTGGAGGCTGCGTGTGTGAGGTACATGAGTACACAAGCTCTGACCTCCCGCCTCTTACTGGCATTTCGACTGTTGCGCATGGCTAGCCCACCACATGGCCTCCATGGTGCCCCTAACTCTAACCACTTAAAACCTGTCCCAATCGAATCAAGGAGGAACTACACTTTCAGGGCCGCAAAAAGTGGAGAATTAAGACATCGCGGGTGCAACGGCCGCTAATTGTGCTCTCAAATCTCTTACCCCAAAACGACTATGATTGCAGTTTTCAAAGGAAAATTTACCCTAATAAGCAAAAAGTCCCCCAAAACCCTATTTTATGCACCGGAACTAGAGCCCCAATTTGAGATGGAAAGATATGCTTCCGCAGGTCCATAGGGAACCATCCCATCAAGAATTCGTCGGGATGCAAAGTGTGTGCGTCGTGCAGGGAACAGAGAGAGGAAAGCAGCCCGCATATGGAAGGATCAAAACGCCCACCTGCCGCCGGGTAGTGGAAGTCCCTTGACGAAGCAATAATGGAGACCCACTACTAGCTAGTACTAGAACGGTAGTAGTACCACCACCACTACCACCATCTGGCGGACTTATCCTAGTAACTTTTTCAACGGTAGGTGGATCCAGATGTGGTTAGCCGCCAGACCTTGCACTGCAACGCCTACATGATACATAAATTATTCGCTTTACAAGGAAGTCCAGGAGTAATCTATGTACGTGCGTAGGTACAGATGCAACTTTCTCTGCTGCTTTGTATTCGGTCTGTCGTCCAATCGCTATGACCATTAGACGAATAGCCGATTTTACCGCGCGTACAGGTATAACTTATGTGGTGTGCATGAAGGGCAAAGGGTTAAAAAAAAACCTCTGTAGACATCAAGTATTCTTAGAACCTGCCAGATTTTCCGGAGCCTCGATTAATGAAACTACAAGGAAACACGGAAAGCCAGAGCAGAATTTTCTGCTCAACCCTTCAAAACATCTCCTTTGACGATCATTTTCCGAAAACTCTCAATCTTACGCCCCCAAATTTTCATGTGCATTGTGAATTGAGGTAAATAATAGCCTAAGAGAACCGTGCATTCTGTGAAGAGTACGTGGCATTGTAGCCCACGCTCCCCCATAGCTAGAAAGTACAAATAACGATCCGGATTTAAAAGATAGAACGAGATGACAAGGTGGCGTGCACGTGATTAACGCCATGCGTGGAGAATAATGTACTCTATATACATACATGTATGTAGGTACCATGGGCGATAGTGGCAGGTTATCTACCTCGTGGTAGTAAAAGCACAACATTGGGCGAAGCTTTTAGAAAAGCCACCCGATATCGGTTGGCTGCATCATATTAATAGTCGCGTTATTATGCTTATATGCCTTACATAGAGGTCATTAATATCGGTACATAGACGTAACCAATCCACTTTACGACTTAACTTTATTACCGGCACTACATCTACGATATTACACTTATGTTCTATTGATTATGACGTCCTCTTGATAGAGCAATAAGGCTATTGATTGAACGAATGACAGAGCGCGTCGCATATTATAGATCAACGTTTGAAGAATGTATATACGTACATGTAGTCATCAACAATTCGGTATCCTTCCAGGAGGATCTTTTTTCAATCTGCGCGTGCAGCACCCCGCGTTACTCTAAATACAATTTCTCCCGCAACAGTGTGAATATATGTAACTCCTTGGTTACAAATACACCGCCAGAAGTATATAATGACGACTCTATCGTCTCCCCTCATTCCACAACCAGGAAAGAAACCACCCAGAATAAAAATACAAATACACCACACCGGGTCATAAAAATGTGAAAACATCCCAGAGGAAGAAGCGACAAAGAACCACCCTTTTTTGGCCTATATACTATTGAAGTTAAGATAAGTTATGTTTTATATAAAGAAAAGAAGATAAGAGATTAATATTTCTAATGAGTGAGGGAACACAGAACACGCTAAATAAAAAGTTGACAAAGGAAAAGTTCATTAAAGATTATCCGCCGGGGCGCGGGTATTAGCCCTTTAAACTGGTATTTGCCTTTCGGGGTTCGAAGACTGTAATTATTCATCGTCGCGAATTAGCTGATGGCCATGTGCACCCCTAGAGAACCTCCCAGACCGTCTCTTCTATAAATCCCGCGAGTTACGGTGCTGTGCCATTTACATATATGGGGAGCGGGATCGGAATAGAGGGGTCTGGGGGGCGGACAGGAGGAAGAAAGTGATAGGAGTATAATCATACCTCATGGTAACCAGGCGGATAACTAGCCGTAACAGCAACCTCATTTCTACCATTTCCCCAAGTGCCATCCTTGAGAGGGCGCTCATCATTATCTCCACCTCGCGAGCCTTGGCTGTGGTTGTCCTCATCGAGCTCACCGACGGTCGACTGTACGATAACGTCCTTCTGGGTGTGAATGACGATGGATGGCTTAGTGTGATTGCTGGCAAGAGTTCCACCACCGTGATGTGCGTTGCTGCTGCTGAGCTCAATGTCTTGCTTATCACGTGCGATTTTGGTAATGAGGTCGGCCATAGACATTTCAATATTAAGTTTTACGGTGTAGGCGAGAGGGTGAAGTTGGATATACCTATGATATTATTAGTAAGGGTCGAAATCAGATATACATGACGGAAGGGCCACTGCGAGGAAATGGGAATCGACATACACAGCGCCATTCTTGAGCGACATAAGTCCAATAATCAAAGCATCCATAGTCAAAGAAACCATCACAATCTTGACGTTGAATTGCACAAGTTTATCATACTTGGTCAATCCCTGTGAAACAAGACGGGCCTTCACGACTCTAATAAAGTACCAGTTCAGTGTCGCATCGATGAGCAGGATGATGATTTTCTCTATCCTGTCCCAAACTGCGTTGATATCAATATATCTACCATTTGTTAGTACAGACGAATAATTGCCATTTCCATTGGTGCGGTTGGAATTACCTTTGGGATACTTGTAGCTTTGCCGGAATCCAGATACAGAACACCGTGATGTTGACAAATGTGACCGCCAACGCTGTACCCCATTTGATCCGCGCCGCTTTCTTTTTATCTGACATCACGATGGACACTCGATTAATGATGATTTGCATGAGTAGCTGCAGCTCAAACACCCATAGCGAGAGTAATACAAATGCATATGGTAAACTATATGCACGCCACAGTCAGCTTTATACTCAACCAATAACAAACCGACCAACAGGAAGAAGAGGACGTACGTAAACTGCACAACACCACTTAGAAACAAGTACCCCTGTACCGTGATTGCCGCATTCGCTAGAAGCTCTCCCCAGATCATGTAGATATATGCCGACTTCGCCGGGTTACGGGAGCGCATAGTCTGCTTGATTGCGTTCCATGTCGTCAAAAAACCAAAACCGAGTGTGAATCCGAAGGCAATGGATGAAACTTTGATATCGGAGATACTGTGCGACATTATGAACTATTCTTTGTTGATGAAAAGAAGTTCGGAACTATTATATGGAACTCAAGGTACTAGCCGAGCTGCTGATGTATGAATGGGACGTCGAATAAAATCCAGCAACAGATAGCGAGTACTGGGTGGCGGCGAGTATGTATCTATCTATAAATTATATAGATGACTCGAGTCGATACTGAGATAGGGTGAGGCGATGGGAGCAGCAGCTAAGTAGTAGACTATGATCGAACTAAACCCACAATGCGATGGGAGCTGTAGCTAACATCAAAGAACACGATAGTTAGCCCAAGGTCCCCGGAAATCATCAATCCCCATCTCTAGCTACCGGTATACCTCGCTAGCGGTGAATCCCTTACCAATGTATGGATAGATAGAGCGATGCTGTCCGTGGCCGGGGTACTAATCTAGTATGTAGAATAGTAATATCTAATCGTGCAACCCGTATAATCTTTAACGTTAACCTAGATCAAATTGGCCTGTCGTCTGGCTGCCTGCCTCTGTTGAATTATTCGCGAAAGAAAAAGTGCTCCGATTTTTTGAGAGAGAACCGGGCATTCGGGCAAGCTAAGTATCAATCCTAATGTCCACCGTGCGTTCATATGAACCCGGGGCCTGGCAAAACCCACCCACCCACTACCATCCCCCATATCCGCCCATCGCCCACACATCGCCCACACATCGCCCATGTCCAAGCCTGCATGTGTCATCCTTCTAGTCTCACTTTCCTCCGCTCCCAAGGTTAGAATAGGGAAGAGCATCTCAGATCTCACCCTTCCCCCCTACAACCTGTCAGGGCAGTGGCAAGGGCTAGGGTAGAGTGTTTACGGGTTTGCCCAGCTAGAAAATCTGCCGAATATTTGCTAATACTATAGATACTTAGTAGTTTTCCCATGCGGATAAGATAGACAGGACGTACTCAAGAAGATAGCTACTCATTTACCTCAGATAAATCCAGCATTGCACTAATCCTACCCTCCTTCCTCCTACCTTCCATTCCATAGGGAAAAGCAAAAACGTAACAATCTCGCAACAGTACAGGGTAAACTTGAAGCTAAAACTTCTTTGGTGGTGATCTCCTTCGACTCTAGCGGTTGTTTTGACATCCTTGAGGTTCCAAAATGGGATGAGAGCCCGCTCTTTCCTGGTGCGTGCTGCAGTGAAAGCCAACCGTTACATGTCATTAATGCGCACAAGCTTTGCCTACATACCAATGGAACTCCTACCTATTGTTTAGAGCAGGTAGTATGTATTGACGCATATGATAGGCAGCCGGTCCGGTGGGGATTCGATTGCACTCTGGCAGTTACTTAGGCAGCGGTCAAAAGTCTGGGGTGTGCAACGAGCCAAGGTACAGAGGTAGGTACCGCACTCTACATACCGACACCCACGTAGGCCCCGGCCAGCTAATCAATCTGTCAAATTGAATTGAATAATTGAGCTTTTGCAGCCATTCCCTCACCCAGCAAAATAACTTCCCTGGGGAGTTATTTCTTGACGATTTACCCGTGATGTGGGCGAAACTTGGTTCTGGGTGCTCGAGAGGCGACTTTTCAAAGCCACACAAAGAATATGCGAACTCGGTAACCGCACACCCATGCTCCCCGTCTAGTTATTGGCGAGTGGTGGTTAGTGAGTAGTTTATGAAGATTGAGGTCTATGCCAAGGACCACAAGCCTTGAAGTTCACCTTAAACAACAACTGAAGTTGTTGATGGTCGTCGTCGTGGTTTGAATCAGTTCAATCTTTTTTTTCTTTTTCATAATTGAAAACGGATGACCTCCCCGAGACCTGATATGATCGATTTCAGCATATGTATGGAATAACTCGAGACAATCTGACTTGCGCCTTCATCGAAATTTTTTATTTTTTCCTACACAGATCATGAATTCTGTCAGGCCGCTTCACTCGATGTGGCGGAGTACAGGATCCTAGGACGGAGTGTTGGGTGTGATTGTCTGTCTCAATGTTTCGCCAAGTAGGCCAAAGCACCCTGACCACTGGGCAAGATCTGAGGGTAGGAGTGTATTTACAGCGAGAGGTAAAATTATTGGAGAAGCAGGGGTCTAAAAACAGGGTTTCTGTGGCTGGGCAAGCCAATAGGACTCCTCCCATATTTCTACCGCAAGCTGTAACTACCGACTTCATTTTGATCACCACGCCACAGAGCAGTTAAAATGGTTAAAACGGGAATTATTTTGCTCCACTCTAGTTGCCTGATAAATTGGGCAAAGTAAAGGAGAATTCCCGTGGTTAACCGTCGAGTCCACTGTTTCCCGTGCAAACATATATATTATGAAGAGGGGATTTCCGTAAGCACGAAAGATTTTCTTCTGGTAGGCATTCAAAAGGGGTCTTCCGTGTTATGCATGAAAAGTCTCTGCTATTGGTAGTGGCAACTAGCCACATACCTAACATCTTACGTGTGAAACCTCGATGATCTGAGCGAGTCATCATATTGAACTTGAGAGGTCACAATAATTTTGAGGCGCGCGATGGCGCTTCATCAATATCTTAATAGACGCTTGTATAGGTACTTTAGTGGGGCTTTCGATCAAAATAGTAAGACAGTATGTTACAAAACGTGTTTTAATCTTCGATTTGCCATGATGAATAGGTACATGTACTCTATTGTTGCAGCTGTGCAAAGGCCCCAGCGTGCATAGTGCGGTCCAAAAAGTGAAAAGCAGACGAGACATCACTTCTAGAGTATGTCTCGTACATATGATATAATTAAAAAACATTTTGAAGGGTAGATATGATACATTGCGGTTGAGTGGCCATAGCTGTGAAGTAGTAGGAAGTAGTACAAAGATCCATATAAAATATGTAGATTCCGAGTGATAACTTATGACGGTGAACCATCACATCATCGCACATCATAACCAAATCTTAACCAAATCCTACAATTACGGCCATGATCTGCATACATAGAACAATTGCAATCAATCTAGATGCCAGCACGGGTGCGGGTATTAACGCCATACCCGGTTCTCCAACAACAATTAACCCTTTACAAGACACTTCAAAATGGTCATTTTAATATAATTACTCGGAAATCTCCTATATCTCCTTGCGCGCCCAGGAGATAGGGCTCCTTCCAGAACATCGGTTAACAAGGCTAGTGATTAATGTTGACTTGTAGACTTGACTGCCTACACAGAGCAAGTCGACTAGAGTACCTACAATGGCACTGCTCTACACGTCAGCAAGACCCTCACCCCCGGCGCATGCATATGTCAAGAAAGGACATATAGGGTAAGTAATATATTATCAACCCTCAACCCAACCACTTTCAACGTCTTCCCCGGAGATCGGTACTGTTTATGTCAACCTTTTCAATTCTTCACCGACCCCAGGCAACAGTTATAAGCGACCTAGCCAACTATATCGATTGAGTGTTTAGTATTTCCTCTTACCATGCATTAAGCAGCCTTCCCATGTAATAGTAGATTGTAGAGTTTTACCAAAAGAAGACTAGAAAATCGGAGGAGGTTTCGATGCTGTGCCACTTGTGTGCGCCAGGGAAGTATAGTACGCCTGCGCTGCTCCCATTAGAAGTCCCCTCATATCAGGATTCCCAAACCTGCCTTCTAGCGCCGCGACGCGTTTGAGGTTCTGAAGATACATGTATTTACGGATATAACCGCAGATAGGAAGGTAATCATAACCGACGGCGGTCATGAAGAGGTGGTAGTTGGCAGCAGTCGCGTACACCTTCTATCATTCTGCAGTTTGAAAACCTGTTTTCGCATATGCCATATTACCGTTACCGCAGGTAAACCAAGATTAAACCCAGTTTGACGGGATTGAACAGAGTTCTCGGAAGTTGTCCTGCCTCTTACCTATTTTCTGGAATCCTAGGCAATAGATATCGAGTTATATGTCATTTATATCAACTGTGATTCAAGTCTCTTGTTTACCGACTATACTACCTTCCAGAAGGGACGTACTTTCCTCTATTAATTCAAGGCAGCGATGTACATATATGCCTTGGTACCAGACGAATTTAATTGTGTTAACAGTCTTGAAAACGATCACCATAGAACTGTTTGGTACACCAGGGACACCCTTACCCACCAGCCAGGTTGATACACATCCCTACAATAGCCCTACCACGGATTCCAGCCCGCGGTAAGACATGAAAACCGCCTGCTCTTTCCTTTACGACTTAGGGTTCGGATACGTAAGCGAGACACCGAGGGGGGAGGGAAAATAAAATTATCGCCGTCACTTGGCTGTGTATGATTATGGAGAAGAAGAACCGGAGCCTCAAGAAATTAATTTTTGCGAAAGATTTCGTTTGATTGCTTGCATTTGTGGCCCGTGGGCGCCGCGATTGCACCGGTTTAGGTATTAGTTGATTCATAACGTAGATTATAAACGTCGAGGACTATTTATAAAGAAGTACTCCCGAAATCAATTTGTTTTGATAGATTAGATTTAAACAGGGCTCTTCATTTGATACTCAGCAACTAATAGGTGGAGCATATCATATCTGATCTTTAATCGATAGTAGCTCCAGAAGTAGGTAAGTTCTAGGCCATAAATCATGGGAAGGCGCGGCGTAGCAACCTCCCGGGCCACCACAACTACCCACCCAGCAACCACAATTGATCCTTTGGAGAGCTGGTTTTTTGCACAGTTGTTAAATAGTAGCTAAATAAAAATAATTTGACATTTAATATCTTGTGTACTAACCCCTTGCCTTTTATAACAGCTCTATTCTCCTAGGCATGCTCTCAACTAGCTACCAAAGAAATCATCAGGTAACAGTTCCCAGCAATGAATTAGACCTTCCTCCACGAGGGGCTTTAATACTTAAGGTGATCCAGTACCATATGCCAAATGGGGGTACTGTTGATGGTAAAGCTTCTTGAGGTGTACCCAAACATGTTCAATGGGATGGAATAGGCAAGCCAGTCCTCCAGAACATCTACCCTATTCCCCTCCAACCAGAGTTGTAAGACTCCGGTTTTTTGCCACAGCAGGGAGGCTGGTCATTCCCTCCTAGCTGTCTGGTGGGATACATGGTCTCTGGGCGCCATCGGTGGTGGTGAAAGATTTTGTGTTCAGGCGTTGCGACCTCGCGCCTTCCCATGACTTATGGCATGGCGCTGTACATACCCCTACCATCCCGTACCCTCAGACAGTCAGGCTCCTGGGAGCGACGGCTACCTCCAAACAGCCACATCTAGAGGATTGGTCATATGCACACCACCTTGTGGCTTGTAGATATTGCTGTCGCGCAAAAATTGTTCTTGACCGACGGCCTCGGAACCTCCCGGCATTAGACCCACAACGGCCGGCCCGGAAGCATAGATCCTTCCTCGGATATGATAAATATGTACCGAGTGATGTTTCGTGATAAGCTAGGCTACAGCACACTGATTAGAAGAAAAACATTTACAGGAGGTGAAACATGATGAGTGGGGCGTGGGTTTGGTGTGATGTCTACCTGGGTTTGAAAACGAAGAACTCCCGTAAATACCTTATAAATCCCAAAACACTGTCTCTCTGTTTCCATTAGGTTTTGAACTCTATCCCCCGTCCAACCAAAATATTTTCAGAGTTTTGGGTTAAAAGCCAAGGCATCGCAATTAAGCCCGACCGGCATTTCCCTAGTGCCCTCATAACCCCACAAGAATCCACTGATTCTGGGTTAGTGCTTGCCCATCGGCAATCAACCACGGTAGGTGTAGTATAGAGTATACTCTAGCGACTGCTCTGTGCTTTGAAACAGCGCTATCTCACGGCAACCCATAATCGTACGTAGATGACTTCTTGGGGCGTTTCGCGATCGATGTGGTAAGTATTTCTACTAAGGGAATACACCGATGGGTCTTGAGTAGGTAGACCGTGAACTTTTTAGGTATTTATGGTAGTCAATCTCCGGCTTGTATATAAGTATGTTTAGACTAAACGTACCGATAAGCCTAAATATTGACGGCGGAACCTTAAACCTAAACCGAAAGCCCAAACCCGAATCATTTTGATATAGTGAATTCTCACGACTGCTCTATGGTGAAGATCGCCAATTCATTGTAGACGATCCAATCCCTCTCATCCAACGATCCGGACGATCAAGAAGCCCTTTCTACCATCTGAATTCATCCGATCTCTATTCTAAGCGCCGATTCTCATTGTCACTTAAGAGTACTGGTTATCTTAGACATCAAGAAAGCAACAATATGACGGTCGGAATGATGATCAGTTCAAATGTTCTCGCAGATGACCGGCAGCTTCCATCTGCTTTGAAGCATGCTTCGGCACATGAGCATATCATTCTGTTTCATCCAGTAGCTCTTTTTTCGATAGGTCCATATAGGCCGCGATGGGTTGATGAGCAGTCAAAGACATGCAGGATGGCATGGGCACAGATACAATTAGAGTATAGGAAAAGAAGCAAGAAAAAAAGAAAAAAAAAGAACCACAGAAAAGAAGTGAGTGGTGTGCATGTGCCCGTGGGTGTGGAGTGCTACTCTAGTAGAGTAGAGTAAGTGCTTGCTTCTGCAGAGCAAGATTCCTTCCTGGGCGACGGCCCATTATGTCTTTCATTCGGTGGAGAGACGAAAGAACCCAACTGATCGAAGGTTTACGGCCGCAGCTAGAACAACATTATAGTCTGAACCAATTTCACTTGATAATAAGAAACGGAGGAAGTGTTTAATTAGCCTGCACGGTAGAAACACAAACAACTTTGAAGTGATATGAAAGTGGGATGGGGGTGCAGAAGGTTTGACGTTGATGACATCGCTGGATGTGAAAGCATTCGTTGGTTTTTTGGTTGTCGCACTAGCATTGCAACCAGAAACCATAACATAATGTACTCTATGTAATGTTCTCAGTCGCACAACAAACAAACACACAGTTCTAGATAATCATATTTCATCTCTCAATGCGAAATAGTGGATTAAACAAGCTTTTCATGGAAGCGCTCTAAATTGTCTAAAACATAAACTTGATGTACCTAGAGTAGTATCTCTGCATGTACCAGTTCACTAGCTAGCATTTACTCTAAGAGAATTCTACAACCGATATCGGTCAATGCTTAAAACCCAAAGCCCCCATTTTCCTAATGATTATCACGAAAGTCACTTCTGGTTGCAGTATGCGGTGCTGATACATTGGCCGCCGGCCGCCATACACTAACTCCAACTAAGTCTTCCCCGTGAGATAACCCAGTAGAATGGTAAATGCTGATCACTTCCTACTTGTATGTCTCATCAGACCACCACAACCAGCCCCTTCTCCGGCTCTCTACCCAGTCGCGACTGTTAACCGTGAGCACACAACCCGGAAGAGATTGAACCCAACAATGGGGAAGAAAGGTTAATAGGACTTTCCGAAATCCCATAGGTGTGGTTTATTGGATTAGTAATCCGCAGGGTTAGCAAGTAACATGACTTGGAATTGGGGCATATCTCCGGAATACTCGTCCCCACATATATGGGACGACAACAATTTGGTGTCACTACCTAATTCTCCCTTCACCCGCAAAGCCACTGCATTTAGATCCATTATTCCGCCGTCAGGTCACTTGTGGTATTACGCAAGTAAATCAAAACCGTCGTGTCAACCGAAATGTCTAACTCGTCGGGGGAGACTGAAAACGACGAGATGTTTTGAATTATATTAGCAGCGGCTCTTGCTCTAGTAATCAGTTATTAAGTAAAGCTAGTCTATACTTACTTTTTTTTGACAGCACCTGCCGTTAGTTAGCCAGGGGCGAGTGATTCGTCGTGATCTGTTGCAGCACACATGAAGATGTATGTATATATTCTTTGTCACATGTAGCTGTAGACTACATGGTATCAACGGTACGTACATACGGCAAAGACGGCTTTACTTGATTTTAACGGAACAAGCACAAGGATATTAAACAAGTGCTGTAACAATACCCAGGAGTTCTCTTCCTACGCTGAATCCTCATGATGCTCACCTACTTCAGACTACTAGACTCAACTAACCCCTAGACCGTTATATCGGGTCGATTTGAGTTATATCTCATGGTATGTACTCGGGGAATGCAATAAGAACCCGGGTATGGGAACTATAAGCAGGGATTTAACTCGCAGTAATTACAAAATTAAAACAGGCGCGAATAAGAGATCGTTACCACAAAAAGTTAAGTCCCGGTTCTTCTTGCCTACCCCAAGTATTGACAGTACAAGTAAGTGCATGAAATTACTACAGGAGCTTATACTATATACTTTCCTTTGCTAGACCCTTTTGGCTTCGATTTTCCTCATTCGCGCCTTGATGGGTAGTGGTAATTATATCACTACGAATGGGATCTCATACCGGGACCAAGAGTGGGGGGGAGTAGCACGGACGAGGCGTGATCATGAACCTGATAACGATGATCTCTCTTGATGGTCTAAATTCCTAGTTTAAGGCAGCTGGAGCTTGATCATAGGCTTTGAACTCGACAATTTAATTAAAGCCGGAATTATCCGATTATTTGATAAGATCTGGATTTCACAAAACAAATATTGAGAAATTGTGCTAATAATATGTAAGAGTAGGACAGCGAAAAAGAGCTATAGGGGAGTAATAAGGGGCAGCATGGAATTGCACTAATTGTACAGCGGTGGGTAATAAGTCATCGGACGACCTAGCCACAATTTTTCCTGCAAACGCGTATTTTGGTGGCGTTCCGTCTGATGACTTATTACCCACCGCTGTACAGATAACGTGGGAAGCTTTCCAAAAAGTCAATGATCTTCTAGTAAGAGATTTCGAGCTTGAATATCGACCTATTCCACTTGATGAGAACGTGGGGGGTATCGATATATCCGGCTACTCGATCAAGTATTGGCAAAGTCTACTAGTCAACTGAGAGAAAGTGGCTGGAATTTTTAATCTACGAAAGCTTATATTACTGCAAGAAAAGAACTTCATTACTCTCTGGCCACTTATAGGCGAGCAAATGCCCCTTACTCTCGAGCGAGGTACGTATGTACTTCGGTACCAATAAGGATCAGACTCAGATCTTCAGTACGAAGACCATTAATTGACAGCTACTAGTACCTAGCTGTTAACTGCAGAGATATCATATCACGGCTATTCACTAAGCTAGAATCTATCTGTGATAGATTAGGTATAGAGGAGTTAAAGATTAGTTACCAGCACAATTCTAACACCACCTTCGGGTTTTGGCATATACAGGTTATTCTTTCATCTTTTTGGACCCTATCATGCATACGGAAAGGTAAGGTGCACCGATATGGAGAATTTGAAACCGAGAACAGGACCGCATAATCTACTCCCGTCACTTTGCATGTGCAGTTTATCCGCTACTCACACTGGTCAACACGTATCAGTCGTGTCGATCGCGAGTAAGAAAGGGAGTTAGGAGCTTCAGTGTCAGTGTCAGTGCCAGTGCACAGAGGTGTTGCAATGATTAATTTGCTCATGGTCATGGTCATGATCACGATCGAACCCGCCACCTCGTCGGTAAAATTCACTCCCCCAGTAGGTAGAAAGTTGATCATGAAACGTCACTCGAAACCCGGTCAACCGGCAGTTGCGCAAAGCACGGACTCTGATATACGCGTATATATCCAAGTGTTCGGGGCTTTACGGTTCGGATTCAAGGATATGTTCTCGCACAACGATCATTGCCCGACTGGCCGGCTTTATCCTAAACCCAAGCTATGCCGGCCTTCCTTTACCATCGCAGTGTAGTTGTATACTGATACAAGTAGCCAACAGCGACACGTGGGTTTTAAAAGTCCCCTTTCTTATTTCTTATTATATTCCTCAAGCCTAGCTATAGCCCTTCGAATCAATCAATAGCAGTTCCCCCCTTTTCCTTCGACCAGTTATGGGCATGTGCATACCCTCCCCGAGCTTACGCCAGATCAACAAAGACGCAAAATTGTGATCCCACATATCCATCTCCTGAGATTTCTTGCCGGTAACTATGCATTTTGTGTCCCTAATAGATGGGCGATAACAGGCCAGCTCGGTTGCTTAAGTTGCCAACTTTGTCAACAATCCACCAGAGAGTCGAAGAAAAACTATCACCTGAGTTCCAGTAGATTTCTTTGGATTTAGATTCACGAGACTATTTTAATTCTGTGCTAAGTATTTTAGATCATCAACCTTAGTAGCTCCTATCTGTCTACCGAACCGACGACCACAGAAGTGTAAGCGGCAGAGCTTGAGGGACTTCTTCTTATGCATGTAAGGGCTTGTCAGAATTCTAGAGAGTTGAGAGAAGAGAAGTGTTGCTATAAGTTCTAAACTTCTGATAATATGATAGGATACACAGTCATTATAGGCGTCTTCATAGTGTCGATAAACTCAGACGCCTCTCCGGCTCCTAGCTCTGCGTTGCGTTTTCCAGTTTCGAGGATTGTTCTCTTGTTTTTGAACCGTCTTTTCTTGTCCTGATATTGAATTCTCTTATTTCCACTAATACCTAGAGTCCTAATCTCTAGACGACTTGTCTCGAGCCTAACACTACATGATTAATTCTCTACCAAATATACTACCGTATATTAGGGACATAGACTACTTTAACTCCATTGGTCACAACTGATAGTGGCTGCTGCTAATAAGAGAATATTAGAATGCTCACAGCCCCATTTGAGGATCTTATTCTATTGCTATTCGCATTGATTTGTATCAGCTAAACCTAGATTAATGCGTACTCCTTGTCGACAACAACACCAGACTCTGTACCTATTACGACAGATACCTGTTCAGCCAATTCTCATAAACACTTGATCAATATCTGAATAGCTGTAGATTGTTAAATTCTATCCTATCAGTCCGATGGTCGGCCTTGTAGTCGAGTGTCAGAATTTCGTTTTTCCTGGTAACCATGACAACCCTAACCTTGAATATCTGAAGATCGAGTGATTCCTGATGACGATAATTTCTGATAACTACCAAAGTCAAAACGCGTCTTGCAACTCTCAAATACCACAGATTATCTCAGAGGACACTATGTATACGTGTTGGATCCGTGTTTCTGTTTGCGTGGGTTAATATATTGCGGAATGCGAGGGTTAGGGTTTTGTTTGTATTGTCAGCACACCTATCACGTAAGGTAGGTGTGAGAAGGTTGGGTGATTTGTCTTCTTATACCTTGTACGCGTACTTTTCGATTTGATATGAATCAAGGCGTAAACTCAAGATAGCTCGATGTATTGTAACTGGGACGCGTGTAATGGTGGGTTAATTCAAAGATATAAACGCCGCTGCAGTCATAATAGAGGACACTCAAACCACCATGGGAGCTTCCGGATTTATTACATATCATATTAGAGCGGGTTAAGTGACTCATTCTAGAAGCCAAGGGCTCGAGCTGAGTCTTAGCGAAAGATATCACAAGAAGGAAAGAATTACGAAAAAGAATTAAAAAGGGCAGCATCTTTGTTTCTATCGAAACTAAGTACCGAAAGAATATGAATCTAGACGTCTGTACACGTGTCGGTATCGGGCTCTCGGATATCATGTCTCATCACTCGAGCGCCCCCTTACATACCAACTAGATCATATGGAATCACTCTTAAGATCTTTCATGTGTTGCCATAACAACGCATATATATGCGCTTAAAGGTAGCGGATCGCGACGAAATATCAATGGCTTATAACTTTGTGACAAAAAATCGTACAAAAAAAGCGTAATGATAGAACTCTAGTACTAGTGATGAAATACAGTTCTATCATTGTAGAATTTTAATATCTGTCTGGGTTGTAAAGCCTTAGGAAGTTGAAATTGTGTATTTTTGTATGTAAAATGCGCCAAGACTGAACAAAGTGGAACAGAATTATACCCATTTATACCCCCAGGAAAGCAAGCCTGACTGATCCGTTGCAGTAATGCAGCAGAATGGCTAGAAATGGGCCCTCTTATTGGCCCATGAGGCCCTATTGCAGCCACAATTGTTCCACTTCCGTATGCCGCCATATCACCTTTAAGAGTGTGCGCACCATATCACAACCAACTCTTATTAAAAAGCTTAAAGCGCGTTTATTAATGTTTTTATCGACATGCTGTTGCGCTTTGTCAGGATCAGTGCATGCAATTAAGGAAGTACAAGTAATCAATCAAGTTGTCAGGGTCAATTGGCGATGTGGTCACGACGTCATGATCCGATAAAACTATACGTATCATTATAAGTATATACGTAGTACTTGGCCCATAGATTAAAGAAATTAGGTACAGCCATTCAGCAAAAGTGTTCGTAATATGGTTTTAATGTCAGTGCTCAGTGTGGCGCACCCGTAATACGGATCTTATTAAAGTTGAGGTTCAAAACAACGAAAAATATATAATATAGTTTGTGACTATATATAAATAGAAGATAGGTCATTGATCTTATTCTTCATTAATTTGGGCGCCATTGGTCACTGGGAAAGTCTTCTCTTGGGGGGTTCTTGATGGTCCGCCGCGGTTACATATGGAGAAATGTCTCACTCCGAAATCGGAATCACGAACACTTTTGCAGAGTGGCTGTATGTAATTGGGATATTCGATCCCAATTTTGCAACCCTACAGTTTACGGATACCCTCGTCTATCCTAAACCCCACAGCGAATGAGTGGAATACAAGGCTAAGATTTAGAGTTTTGTTTTACTCTTGGGGGCTGGGGGCATATGTAAGTGCGTGCTTTAGTATCCAGGCACAATATTAGGCAATTCCGAAGTTCCGGCTTACTTGTTCGGTTTTTAAGCGGCAAGAGTAGGAGCGGAATAACTTGAAGCCCCCGATTTGTAACAGATGGGCGTAGGCTCTGTAACAAGTACATATCGTGAATCAAAGCTGCGTTTCTAGAAACGCCATTTTCAAAGTTTCTACTACTTGCTTTGTTAAACTGACATGCTCATTATATAATTTCCGATGCGAGAACTACAGAAGTGTTCAGTCATAGAACGATGAAAATTGGGCATCCCGTCAGCTCTGCCTTACACAAGAATCGTATCGCCAGGTTAGTACCGCAGTGAGTGATCATGTGGGAATCCCTGGTACTGAACTCGCCCCATTTTGCGTCTCTTTTGGTTACGCATCAGCTGCCAGAGTCTTGGGCTCAGTTAGGTTTGACGTTGCCGGTACCGTTGATCTGTGGTATTTATCCATGAATTATCACTCGGACTATCATAAAAGGTAATCGACGCCTTTGCTCATAGAATGTAGGTTTAAGGAGTGCATAGAGAAGCGGCGCTCAACATCATAACCTTAGCTCTGCACCGTTAGGAGTGCGCAATTACAAACCACCACAAGTGAATGGGTTTATACGTACTAATGTCTTGCATGCCATCCGTTCGAATTCTCATTATGCAGATATAGACTAAATCTTATGTCTCCATGTCATCCGTGTATCCACCTATGCTCCTCTAGTCTCCTAGTTTTCATAGGGCTTTACATCAAGATGACCATTTTTCGCGATAACTTTGTCAAGTAGGAAGTAATTGCTAGCTTATCCTGATAACAAGAGCGGCCAAAACAAAATCCCCCTTGGCAGGTCCATCTTGCTACAAAATGTTCAGCCTTCCCCAGCCACTCATTCCACCTCTTCGAAACTTTGTAACGCTGCTTCCGGGTAGCACAACCAATCCTACTTCGATGAGTTAGAATAAAAAGGTGCAGCCTTAGACCCTCCTTAATTGACACGGAGAGGCGTAAAGACTCTTGACGCTAGCTAGTTGACTGAGTGAGCTTGATTATATGTTCACAAAGCACGGGAAGGCTTAAAGCGCAAACGCAGCGTCGATTCAACAAGTATGCAATGGCGCCTACAACCCCAATGTTGACCTCACCACAACCTCGCAGAGATATTACATATTATACCATCACCTCCCTCCCGCCCTCCTTTCGAATTTATATTAATACCACAACCCCCCCCCCCCCCGGGGGCCCAATCCAGCACCACAAGACGTCACGTCACGTCACGTCACCCCAAACCCACACTCACCGCCACACCGCCCCCCGGAGAGACGTAAACAAAAGCCATGTAAGACAGCCCAGACCAGCCCGCCCAAGAAGGCAACTTCCAACGTCTTGTGTGACATGCCGTTCGTTGATCCAAATCAGTGCGGTACTATGATCGACATCTACGTAACCCTAACCCACCACATGCGCGCAGCGCAAACATACCCGCGCAAACATACCCGCGCAAACATACCCGCTGCTCATGAATGGGTTGACCTACCTACTACACCCCCCTCCATCTATAAACCACCACCCATCTACATGCTCAGAACCCCAATCCTATCACGCACACCAAGCCCAGCTTCCCACCCTCTCCTCCTTCCTTCCACCTCCCTCCGTCCATCATACAACCACAACACCCACCATCCCCACCATCCCCACCATCCCCGCCACTACCCCTACACAACACCACCAGTGCCAGACACCACCAGTGCCGGACTCCGACCCTACACGCGGGACTCGGCAATCAGACACTGCAGCTACCCAAACCCAGGGACCACCTGGTTAGCTGGTTAGTTGGGCCGAGTGATATTCTGTGCTTCGCAGCGCAGAACCTATACTTTAGATATCTTTGGTGTGACATGTTCAGTAACGACTGGCGCCGCTATAAATTACCAGATTACACGAACACTTTCTAGTGGATACGGACAGAGGAGATTAGAGTAGAGTAGAGTTTCGGATGGGACGAAAGTATTCGAATAATATTCGAGAGCGGTGCATGCCCAAAGCCAGCATACAATCCAAAACCTAGGGAGTATACTAATCACACCCAGTGCGCCCTCACACCCACTACAAAGCACCTATCCACGACCCTCACCTCACCCTCAGCACTTCTAACCGCCGCCCTCACAACCCTGCACCGCACCCCAGAATACCCCCCTACCATAGCATCGCACCAACCCCTGCAGTCGATCTACCACCGGCAAAACTTCCCTGTCGCTGCCACTGTCAGAGGCAGAACCATGGCCAGCTAATAAGTACTACTAGTAGTAGTAGTAGTAGAGTACGTCACCCACAATTGCAAGGCAATGTTTCAAGTGCAGTGTTCCAGTGTTCCAGATAAGATATAATGTATATTTTTTCCATCATGTTTTGTTTTTGCTAAACAGCCTCTCGTAGCTATGGGAAACTAACTAAAAATATTTGTATACCGCTCACTCGCCCGCCCGCCCCCGCTCCGCGCACAGCAAAACACATAAAAAAAAGAAAGACTCCCCCTAGTATATCATGGCATAAAAGAGAAAAGTAGTAGTAAAAAAAATGACAAAGAAAAAATGTCGGAAACACACGCCTGGAGTATCCAGCTAGCTAGCTCCACCATGGCATATATCCCCCCCCCATCGAGTAGACAAACACAACCCCCTTCCAAAATCATGAAACATGGTTCCTGCCCAATTAAATGTCTATAAAGAAGAAAGCCCACCAAATGCGTGGAGCTAATATCAAGAATCGGAATCGACCGTCTATTTTCCGCTACCGTTGTAGATCAAGGTGTTGGGGCTGTTGGCACCAGCATCGGTGACAACTCCCTTGATGGCATTCTTCTTGATCCAATCAGTGACCTCAGTAGACCCCGAAAGTCCCTTAGCGGCAATGGCGTATGCGGCAAGACCGGCAACGTGGGGAGAAGCCATTGAAGTTCCAGAGATGGTGTTGACGGCGGTGGTTGATCCGATCCAGGTGGAGACGATATCAGTTCCAGGAGCGAATACATCAACGAATGATCCGAAGTTGGAGTATTCAGCCCTGGCGTCGCCGATCTGGGTAGCACCAACTGTGATAGCGGACTTCTCGGAAGCGGGGGAGCTGTTAGAGGCATCGACGTTCTCGTTTCCGGCGGCGACAACGAAAGTGACACCAGAGTCAACAGCTGCAGCGACAGCCTTGTTCAGGGCAGCAGAGACAGTACCACCGAGTGACATGTTGGCAACAGACTTGTCAGATTTGCCCTTTGACTTCGCATCTGATGTAACCCATTCAACACCCTCGATGACACCAGCGTTTGTACCAGACCCGTCACTTCCAAGCACCTTCACAGCAACCAAGCTGACCCCCTTTGCTACACCGTACGTGACACTGCCAATAGTTCCAGCGACGTGAGTTCCGTGACCGACACCATCCTCGTTCTTGTCGTCAGCAGAGTTGAAACCCCAAGTTGCGCGGCCTTCGAATTCGACGTGGTCAACGTTGATACCGGTGTCAATAACGTATGCTGTAACACCCTCGCCGGCAGAGGAGTCGTAGAAGTAGTTGGTAAGACTGGCGTTCTTGCCGCTCTTCTGGGAGATACGGGCAATTCCCCATGACGGAACCTTAGTCTGAGTGAGGAGGGATTTGGCGACCATGATCTGGTCCTCTTCGACAAAATCAACCTATAAATGGAAAAAAGAATGGTTAGGGCTTGTTCAATATACGGATTTACAAAGTGCTACTGACCTCAGTGCTGTTCTTGATCTGATCAATGGTGCTGGAATCGAAAGCACCAGAATAAGCCTTGAAGCCACCGATAGCATACTGCTTCTTGAGGCCGACCAATGAGGCATCATCACGGCGGACCAAACGGTTTCTGTGGAGGTGGTTGGTAGTTGCAATGTGTGCAGTGATCACATCATCTGCGGTGTCATCCTTGAAGACGACAATATAGTTATCTGAAACTGCCTCTCCAGCGCGGGCAATGGAAATGAGATTGTCCCCCAAAGGTGTAGGTGCTGCAGTTGCATAAAAGGGGAGAAGAGCTGCGGAAAGTGCCGCGAGTGAGGAAATGAAATGCATCTTGAAAGTAGACTAAAAGGGCGGTTTTTGAAAGGTAAGATTTGTAAAAAGAAACGGAAAAAAGAAGGATTTAAATGATTGTGTGTGTGGTAAAGCTGCCGGCAAGCTGTGTTTCTAAGTGAGAGTGAAAGAGTGACTGAATGTGAATGCGCTGTGATGAGGAAAAAAAAAAAAAGGACACTAGAACGGAGGGAGCCAGCACGCTTTATACAAACGGATTGACCTCCTGAAGTTTCACTGTCTTAGTGTTCCCCACATGTCCGGGAGCAGGCCGAAGCTGTTCCTCGATATTAACAATAACGCTACTCGGTTTATTGCCCGATCCATTGGGTACTACTGGAATTAAGGCCCTGCCGTGCTAATAGTTTATTTGACTCTTGGCAATGTTGGCAATATTGGCAACGCCTATCCCCATTGATTCTTAATTGAAGCAACTATTTTCACCTCACTCCTATTCGTTGTTTTCCTATCTACTGCAATCTCATCATTCTGGCGGTACCCCGTTTTTGTTTCAATCGTCATCCGGCTCCAGTACGGAGAGATAACTCAATTGGTCCAGCCTCGAGATATCAATTAAGGTTTAATCTCTGTACCAGGTCCAAGATTGAGCTCTACACCTGTATGTGGGCGCGGCATCCAGTAAAAGCCATCAAAAGCCACCTCCCACATTGATGGTTAGTTGACAGCAGCGCGAGGTCCCGCCCGAAAGCATATCGTGAGAAATTTCTATATTATCACGTCACTGTGAGACTCTGCTGCGTATATTCTATCTTGAGCTCTGAACTGACATGCCATAGACTCTTTGACGCTGTGCGGGTCTATGTGTAACGGAGAAACCGTATTTTTGCTAGCGCATGGGAGAGGGCCCTTGCTAGTGCAGTAGCTCTAAAGGCTAGAGCAAGTACCTGCATATAGGGCAGGGGTACGCGATATGCACCCTTTTCGTTCCTCACCACCCCCGTGTTTGGGCTTTAAGGTCGTAAATCCTCGACTTCAACGGTTACAAACTACATGTAGCTGTACTAGATTACAAGTTGTAAGCCTCCATCTACTTGACAGCCAATGTATCTTCGTCAGACTAAGGGGAGCGGGAAGAGGAGGCGAGGCCATGGTAGAGTACCTGCCACTTGGGGGGCTTCCGCTGTATCAAATCTCCTCCCTTTTCGACTACCTTCTCTTGCCACAGGTACGTACTAGCCATTCGATTGCCACCCTTCGTTCTTCTAAATGTCGGCCTAAAAGCCAAGCGGTTAGCTCAGCGAACCGGAAGCAAGAATAAGGGAAAGACAGTTTCAGATCCAACCGTTGAACCTAGCTTCCACCCAACCCCGCCCACCCAACGTCGGGCCGTTTCATGACAAACGAGATTCTCCAGCTCTACCAATCGCTGTTCCTCCAGTAGTGAACACGCGAAGTATCACTAGCAGATGGCGGAAGCTGAAGGGGCTTGAATAAATCTCAGGGTGTGGCCAATAATAGGCTTTCTCGCTTCCTGGGGGATCGGCGTAAAACATGGACTCGGGATCGACATGTCTTAGCTGGCAGGGTATTGGCCGTTCCTCTTCTCTTCTTTAGGAAGCCAGATCTCGGAACAGGGGGAATTTAAACATCGATGATCCTGCTGCAAAGCTTAAAGGGTGTTTCAATTGGGAGGTGGTTGAGATTGAGCTCGGAGGTGTGGAAGATGTGGAAGGTGCGTGTTGTGTGTGTGCCTGCCTGCGCATTGATGAGGGTGTGTTTCCTAGCGAACCATTGGTGAGAGTTAACCGTACCTAGGGTACTTTGGGAGAATCGGGGAAACCGGAGGAGATGTTACCCATAGATCCTGTACGGAAAGCAGTTGTATCGACTGCCGCTACAGCTACCGGCTGTCAAAAAGTCTCCGGTTTAGGGGTGTATCAGATCACGGTATATTAACACGGATCACATTGAGAGCCATAAAGCCTCAAATTACACCACCATATTGACCACTCGGCTGCGGCTCCTCATGTACCCATGTGATGCCGGCTATCTGTATCTCTGGGAGATTTCCGAAAACGTTATAATCCTTTTTATTGATCGCTGGTCTTAAGATTGGGCTTACTATGAAATGAGCTCTCGATGTTTGTAAACAATAGAAGTATGAAAATCCTTCCTGCATAAGGCTGGTGGTCAATCATACCGAGTCACTCGGAATTGATCCTTTGTTGCAACGGCAATTCCAGCAGCGTCTACGGTTTTGTTTGTCACGGAGGCAACAGAGAAGCGCAAATTGGGTTGTGTTGATCGGTCTCTTGGCCGAGTCGAGATGAAACGTGCTCTTTACTAGCTGAGTAGCTTTGTGGTAAGGATTTGATTGCTTAGCGGCGTCGATAATTTATCAGCGCAATGCTTGTTTGAGACTTTGGATAGAGGTATAGGAGTAGAGCTCATAAGTGACGGTCTGAACTAATCTAGATTCCAGTAGAGCGGATGATGATGAATATGATCAGATAGGACGAAGAGATAAGATGAAATCAAAGACATGAGGTTCCGATGATAGGTGTCCACTCGGGTCGGTCTGTACACCTATGTACTACCAAAAGCTCTTCTTCGGGCCGTACACCTTCGGGCCGGCTCAACCAGGACAGAAAATATCATCGGCCGACCGGCATAAGCCCACAGCACCTATCATCCGTTTTCTAAGAATGGTCGTCTATCATAAGAACATGCATGAACTCCGATATCCCCTCGTTCAAGCTACCATGTAATCGCACTCCCCCGAAACTCTATCCAGGCCGACAACCCACCTCTCCACCATCCCCATCGACCTCTGTGGCACAAATCTACGGAACCCTACATGAATTCCCAAAGCTTCTCCCGCCAAGCTGCAGGCATGGCATGTGTGCCTGCATGAACAGAGAAACCAGATTCCCATCATGTATCACACAGCACCTGTACCCAGGTCCAGAGAATCATCTTGTTCTACCTGCGGTCAACCAAACATTCCCCCAATGCCCCCACTAACTAGTAGTTTTATCCTTCCTATCATTTCCGCGCCTCAGGAAGTTGAGACGAGTGAGCAGCTATGCTTCGAAGCGCTCCCCCGTATCACTGCCATTAAGCTCCACTCTGTACCCCCCGATCCCATTCGCCACATATCCACTCCTGAGCTCATCATACGACCGATCCTTCATACACATCTACCCGAGCCAGCACTTCGGCCACATCCGACCATCCGTCGAGAAGGGCCATAACAAGGCTGCATATATGTGTCTGTTCCTACCTCCCCTCCCCTCAAATATCCAGCGCACGGTGGTACTAGCGCATACGAATGCGTAATAATTCTCCGCAACAGCTATACCTGCATCTATCTGGGGGGGTAGTAGTGGAGGGTCGTACCTACCTGCCTTCTCCTGGAAACAGCACCTGTTTCATATAGATCCCTGGTGGTGGTGGATGGGTATATCCATGTCCATCGTTGTGGTGGGGCTGGGTAAATTGTATTTAGAGTAGCTGTGGCTAGTGCGGGTCTGCGGCGCGTTTAATTGCGCATGATGGGATCGATTGTTTACGCGCTTTACTTTGCATGGGGGGACGTTCGTTCTGTAGGAATTCCTTGTTTGTAGGTACGGTATGTAGAGTGCGTGTTCTCTTCAAGATATACGCGCATGCGGCGTGTACCGCCCGCTATGCATCCCAGGCCCTTCACTGAGTTCACTCCACTCCACTCCACTCCTGCATACAATGAAAACTACACTCTAACGAGCTTCTAAGTATACCCTAAGCGCACCTCTAAGCGCCCGACCACCAATCATCCCATGCTATCAAATGTGCCATTGATCTCCACCCCCCCCCCCCCCAGCGCACCGTGCCGGGCAATACCCACCCCGCCACTGGCAGAACCCACTTCCTACCGCGGGTATCTAAACCCACAAACTAGCACTTCATCCGGGCGGGTGGATGTCCAGGCAATACATGCGGCCGGACGGCGGCGGTGCGGCGTATATACTAGAGCACCCCGGCCCGGGAGATTCTCGCCCGATATGCTGCGCCGCTTAATTAGTTATCGCAGTAGACCAAATAGTATAGTAAACCAATAGTGGATCATTCGGCCAGACGGGCACCGATGACCATCAAATCTCACCAGCCACAAGTATGGCGATCTGCTGAAAAACGTGATTGTATAGCTGGCGGGCGCTAGCTGGGCGTGGTTGTCACGGCCACCCGAGTGAGAACTCATGACTCGTGACGCCGCGGGCGTCACATAACCTAAAACCACACATCTGACAACACAGGCACTGCGGATAACCCCACCAAGGTACTAGGTGTTCAATCGCGCGCGTCATCTAAACCGCTTGACTTATCCCGTAAAGACTTACAACACTTGTCATATTACCTATAATTAAACAAAATATTAACTAATTGCCTACGGTTACAGCCTTAACTACCACTGATTTCAATTCCATTGTTCTGACTTCAACTACAAGTAGTTACTCCCACCATCCAATCCAACCCCTTTCTCAAAGGGGGAAGAGGGGGGTAAAGCAACCTGCCCCGATAAGTGGTTCCGAGTTAGACGCCCAGCTGAGGTGGGTGCAGCGGGTGTGGGAGAGTTACATGATGGCATTTATGGTCTTGACTTCCGAGGAAATATGTTTATTGTGGTAGCATGTATGCAAACAAAAATATAATATCTACAGAGTACATTCTAGCAACACATATCTTCAAATCCCTCCAAAGGCTTCAAAATCCCAGCCAACAGTCCAAATGGAAGAAAGATAAAATAAATCAATATATTATCACATTCATGACAAGGGAAATGAAGAGGAAAAAAAAAAATGCAAAGCTATGCAATGCAATATGCAGTATATGTCCACCCATAATAATAATAATCCCAGAAACAACGAAATCGAAGAAAAGAAACTGAAAAGGAAAAATAGAAAATAGAAAAATAGAAAATAGAAAAATAGAAAACATCAATCCGTCAAAATATCATGTCGTATAACCATCATGACCCTTATGAAACCAAACCAGCAAAC